GCATTTGAACCGGACAGAGTTCACTTAATAATTAATCTGAGACTTAGGTTTGTAAGTGAACCAGGGTTCGATTGTGCATTTACATCTCTGCAAACAAACTGAACTTTCTGGACAGATGAACCAGAGTTTGATCAAAGTGGTCTAAACGGGGCTGGTATGAATGCACCTTTAATGATCAAGATGAAAAAAAGCATTGCAAAGCAGCTACTTAGGTCAACCTTGGTGAAATCCAACTCTCACTGGAAACAAGTCTGACTTCCTGCCAGCAACAAGGACCAAACTCTGACAACGTTTGATCAGGGTGTGACTGTAAGAAGAGGCCTCGTCCACCCAGAGGACTGGCTGAGTGACATGGTCGAACGTCATCTCTACGTCCACAAAACACATGTAGACTGGTTGGGCGAACTCCCATGAAGCCTCTATTATCCTGTGGATGTAGAGTCTTTATGTTTGTTGAATAAAATATGCTGTAAAGACCTAAATCTGTTTCATTTTCACTTTTATATTTTAGGCCCAAAAGCCAAAGAGTTTTTAGGAGAATGAGATGACAGCGCTGCATTTAGCTTCGGTTCCTGCGCTCTTTGGCAGCTGATTGCAGAACTCTGTATTTTCTCTTCTTTGGAAATATTTTTACAGCAAATAACCTTTTATTTTTATTTTTCTCTTTTGAAGTCTTCAAAAAAACCAAAAAACAACTTGAATCTCGGAGTTTTGAGGGGGTCGTCATGCTGTTTCTGGTTTATGCTTGCTTTTTCCTTTTATGTGTTTTAGATCTTCTTGCACTTTCCTTCTCATCTTTAATGTCTCTTGCGCGTGCTGATCACAGATGTTTTTCTCCCCCTGTTGCGCTGCTTAGCAGGTTGCGACAAACAGGTTTGTTGAAAGCGCTTTATATATAAACTTGTCTTTCAATTGAATAAGTTTTCATCATCGGCTTTGTGACAACCTGTAGGCGTGACTGTATTTTAATTTAGTCCCCTACATCTTGTTTTCCTCCCCTCCCCTAATTGAGGCGAAGCACTCGCAGCAGAAGTGGTTTTCTATTTTTGAAGCCGCGTTGGTTGGCTGCCACATCTCCTCTTCACGCTAAATCCATCAGCTGCCATTCAAATCAGATACTCAGAGGAGAAAGACAGAAAATAGCTCCTCTCATTGTGTCTCTGTCCCCTCAATTCTGTTGCCTCCCGCTCCAATTCTCCAACGATGGTTGTAACTGATCCTCTGTGAAAAAAATGGAAATTAGAAGACAGCAGATTGGAGTTTGGCGTAAACAAAGCTCAATTCTCTCCCTTTTTTTAGCTTCGTTTTGCGGAACAAGGCGTGACACGCTTTGCATTGAGATTCAAATGAATAAGTGGTGGCTTAAGATGGACTTATCCGCACTTCACTGGGACTATTTATCCGCTTTTGTAAAGGATGTGTCATTCTCGACTCTTCCTGCGTAAAAGGCTAAAGACAAAACAGCGTTCTCTGTTCAGCCCATCTGACTGCGAGGAATTATTTCTGTTCAGAGCTTTATGAAACTTTATTGATCTCTCCCAGGAAGCTAGGCCATCCCCTCAGCTGAACTGATCTGGCAGATAAGCGGAGGACAATCAATTCACAATCAGAACACAGAGGAAAAGCTCAAATCTGAGCCAACAGTTATACACATCAGAGTGTTTGTTTCTTTTGAAATTGAGGAGGAATTGTTCCAAACACGAAGGCTGCAGAAATATTATAACAGCAGAGGACTGAGAGTGAGAGACAGATCAGGGATCGCAATAAGAGGATGAAGAGGAAAAAGATGAAGGGCTAAGTACAAGTTGGACCTAAAACACAGAAGAGAAACCAGATGGGTTCAACAAGTTTTACTCACAGAAAAGCAAATGTGTAATGTGAGCGGCTACTTCTTGGGTTCAACGCTCAGGCCAGACTCAAACTGGAAGTCATCAGGAAATGGAAGTCCGACTCTCTTCTGTAGAGACTTTTAACCTCAACAAACTTGAAACCTCAGGGATGAAACTATTATTTTCTTAAAATATTTAATCGTCTCCCTGTTATCAGTCATAATGTTTGACATTAGGTATGCATTGTGAAGAACTCTGAAGGCTTTATCCCTACATTTCAGTTGGCTTGAGTGACAGCACCTCGATGTGCCTCTTTTTGACTCATTTTGTTTCTTTTTATTAGGATAATAATGTTCATGTTGCTTGACCCATTTTGAGCCAGACATCCCCTGTTGGACATATGACCTTTGAGCCAACTCTAGAATGATTAATGCTGCGTAAAGAAAGGAAATGAGAGGCTGGTTCAATGACTGCAGGCTGATCAGGCGCCATCATTTAACCTCGCTGCCGTTCCTGACGATCTATTGGGACATTTGAAATGTTCCAAACATGGCAAAAAGTAAAAATGAAATTATAAAAATATATCAAATAAAGGAAAATAAACAAAAGTCTCGTGCTTTATGGCAACAGAACTGCCTGTGGTTTGACACGTTTGTGATTCCGTATTTTTCTCAAATTTCTCATCTCTTATGTCTCTCAGATGCATTGATCACCTTTTTGCATTGCTTATTTGTGGATTTTGTTCATCAGTGGCATTCCAGAATAACAGAGTGGTTCAAAGCCTCAATCTGTGTGGTATAGAGCTGCTTGATCAGTTAATTAACTGCAGTTAATTAGCTGCGCCTTCCTGCCCTTGACTCTCTTAATTGCAAGGGAAAGGCTGCAAGTATTTCTTTGACGCTGCTTCTTCATTTCAGTTTTGTTTGCTAAATAAATAGTGACACTGTGCAATATCATTTACTGTTTATCTCAGGTAGTATAAATGTAATATTATTTTTAAACCCTTGTGATGAATTAGAAATTAGTGCATATTAAGTTTGGTTTTATGGTGATTTACTTTGTTTTTCCACTAATTTGTGCCAGAACCTGCAACAACTTGATTTTGGCAAAAAGTTTACCTAACTTTTTATATGAAAACATTCAGTGATGCTGGAATGTAAAAGTGCAAATAGATTTTTTAATGCAACATCTTCCCATCTTCTCACCTACAATTAGCTTGTTTACAGAGTTTTTCCTCCTTCTGTTGTTGGGTTTTTCTGTTTATCTGCAATCAAATCTTTCTTTTCTTCACTCTTCATTGATGTACCTCCTCCTGGATTGTTTTTAAGAGACATGCTGCTGTGTGAAGCGTTTCCCCGCACCCCTCTAACCTAAAAACTGTGCTGCAGTTCAGTGCCAGGGAAAATGTAATCTCACCAATGAAAGGAACTTACTCCAAAACTCAGGGGGATATGAGTTAAAGCAGAGGGATGAAAGAAATCATGGATAAAAAGCTGAGCAGAACAAATTGAATCTCATTCTGAGGCATTTCTTCACGTGTTAGACAGTCCTGAAAGTCTGAGAAAACATCCTACAGCTGGTGTGGAGAATCTGGCTAACGAGAAAGTGAAAAAACTCACTTAAATAGCATCATTTTACACCTGAAATGAGGAAAAAGTTGGACACATTAAGCCATGCTTGAGATATCCATTCAGTGTGAAAAGTGATGCTGCGCGACCCGGGTTCTGCTCCTCCGGAGCCTTGGCACGCCTGTGTGTGTTCGTGAAGCTCTGGCTTCAGCTCAGCGCCTCACATCAGGGATCTCTGCAGCGTTCAAGCTGTGAAGTAAATTTTCTGTGCTGAGAGGGATAAGTGCAAGGATATGAAAGAGTGCTTCATTTAAGAGAAGCTAAACTCAGATGAGACGAATAGCTGTTAACACCTGAAGGCTAAATGGTGGTCTCCCTATTCAGCACAGACAAAAAACAAATCTATAAGACACAGCAAAATAGGTACATGTAATTAGAGCACAAAACCAAGTGAACCTGTTTTTAGGTAATTTTGTAACGCTTTCAGATGAAATTATTTATCTTCTACAGCTCTATCCTTCTGAAAAAGATGTTTTATATTTGCCAACGTGTTTTCATTACTGAATTTAATTAGATTGCAACTTTAATTTGGAGCAGAATTGCTTGCAAAAATTATTTTTAAATGAAGATTTTGATATTTTGCTTTAGTTGTCCTGGATGATGGATGTGGTGAGCAGCAACTGGATTAAATGTCTTACTTTGAGATGAATAAAGTATTCACTTTCCTTCATTCATTTGTACGTCCTTGTATTTATTCTTGCTGCAAACGTTAATATAACATTTTGGGTTTTAAGTGATAGACTGATAGTAGGTTGACATGTTGAAGTGGAAAATCAGGATACGTGGTTTCCAAAATCTTTGTTTTTAAATTCAGATTTAAAAAGTAGAGACACGTTTTTCATATATATCACGCCTTGCCACTGATCCTCAGTTGGTTATCGGACTGGCTTTGGCTAGACCACACAAACACACTGACAATTCAAACCAGATATTAAATATACCAAATAAGTAGACATATGCATATTTTGTCTCACTGTGTGAAGCTAAATCAGACCAAACTTCTCTTGTTAGTAATAACTAACCTAAAACCTTAGCCAAATGCCAGCAGAATTTCTTAGAGATTTTTTTTTACTTTCTTCAGATTTAGGTGTGTACAAACGTTTGGTCAGAATCAGGGATAATTGTCTCCTAACTTGTATGACTTGGGTCAAAGCTTTTGGGTTTCCTCCACACAGTTTGCTTCAGAGACAACTGAGTTCATCAATAATGATTGGTAGTTTCCTGTCAACAGTTTGTACCTGAACTGTGGATCACTGCAGCTCCTCCAGAGTTACCATGGACTTGTAGACTTGCAGTTTTCTCACCCTGTTTCCATTTTTAGGAAAGCTCTTAGAGATAATCCTTAAACTTCTCCGTAACTTTCTCTCTGACCTGCCTGCTGTGTTTCTTGGTTTTCATGATGTTTGTTCTCTAACAAACCCAGAGGCCTTGAAACAACAGCTGGATTTCACCACATGCACACATAAATTTTGCATCCTTAAAGCCCTGGCAACAAGACAGATAATCAATTCGCTTCCATCCTCTGAGTGATCAGGAACCCAGAATGCTTCACTGTCGATATGAAAGGGCGTCATTCTGTAATGACGTTCAGTGGTTCCCCATCCGGAGGGGGAAAAAGTCTTCACAAGTCATTATTCTGGTGTCAGTGACCTCTGATCTGCCTGGAGGCTTGGAGGAGGTTCTGCCAGCTCTGCCAGCTCCCAGATGTTTTGCTTTTTTAAAGTTTGCGCCTCGCCTGATGTCTGCTGTTGACCTGTGGTGCTGCATCTGAATGTGTTAATATTTATCATGATAATGGGACAGATTTCATTTCCCTTTCATACACGGGCCACAGCTTTGCGTATGCTAAACAACCAACAGGAATGGATGTGATTATTCTGGATTTTATGCTTTGACTGAAGAGCAATGATGCATACAGAAAACAGGAATGTGTGCCTCTTCCTTATTATCACTCTGTCCTCTTCTCCCACTGCTTTTAAGTTGATTTGTCCCCTTTAATCCACAACTAATATTTAAATGTCTGCTTTAATGTGACATTCTGTAGCATGTAGCACTATTTTCAGATGAAGATGGCCTTCTTGTTGCCATATGGGAGACTCTGTTATAGTTTAGGATGTTTTTCATGGGTATCAAGGACTTTAAAGAACCAGAGGGACTGAACATATACTGCAGCATCTAGTTTTTACTTAATTAAGACTGTTTCAGTTTTTCTCCCTTATTTATTTTTGTTTTCTTACATCTATTTCTTCCTTTGATATGTTGTTTCATATCCACTTTTTCCACTTTCGATATTGTTATCTGAGGATCAGTATTGGCTGATACCAATACGATACAGAAGAATCCTAACCCCAAATTAACTGAATTATAAATGTATTTGATAACTTTGCACCAGTAGAGCACACTTAAACACACCAATATCTTCACAACTCCGTCAAACTTAAAAAAAAAAAAAACACACACACACACAACTTGTAATTATAAGTATAACAGCCAATGTAAAAGAAATAATAAGGAAATTGAAACTGACAAAAATAATAGGTTTATCTTGGTCAAACATGCAACAATAAGCTAAACCTGATTCTAAACATAACTCAAAATAAATAATAAAGCAAAATGTTGCTCAAAGCAAAAATTATTGAATTCACAGATCAAAACTTTTTTTCAAAATTGGGTTCAATACAGATATTAATGTCGGATTGGTACATTTCTAGTTTCTTACCCATTAATTTCTTCTTCTTTAACTCTGACTCCCATCTCAGTGGATTGATGTGTCGAGGGACCTCTTCCTCCTCACCTCCTCATCATCCCCTTTGTCTCTCCCCTCCCTCTCCTGCTCTGTGTGTTGACACACCTTCAGAGGTGATATAAAAAGACAGAAAAAGACACCGTTGTGTTGGGTTGTCATCTCCTCTCCTCCTCTCCTGTCACCTGCTCATCCTTCCTTTCTTCTCTGCTTCCTCTGAAGTGAAGTTTCTTCTCTTGTCAGGCTGTTGTCTCCCGCGCTGCTGTGAAACGACCCAGGAGTCAAAACAACAGCGAAGCACCGAGGCACCCCCCAAACTGAACAAATCCCCCTTCAGAACCAGGCGACGTGAAATAATAAGAATAAAGATGGAGAGCAGAACCGTAGACATGACAAGCATGTGTGTTTTTAGTGGGCAGGTGGGAGCACCCGCTGTGCTCCTTCCTGTGTTTCCACTCTCAAAAGTTTTGTTTTATTTTGGAGGAGCTGCTTCTTTTTCTCCTTTTTCATCCCTTGCTCCTTGGTTCTTGTCTTCTCGTGCAGCAGGGTGGAGATGAAACACGGAGAAACATGAGAGATGTTGAAGAGAAATGTCACCTTGTCCCCTTTGGCTGAGAGCTGCTCCCCTTTTAGACCACTGCCTGAGCGAGTGGAGCGGGTTTAGCTAACGAGCTACGTTGTTGCAAAGCTGAGACAACAATAGCAGCACAGAAGCAGCAACCAAAATACACAAAATAGTTGCTTTACTCAAAGATATATAGATGTAACTTCTTCTATGGTGGATAATCAGGACAGAAGACAAAACAATTGAAAAAAATCAAGAAAAATCAGTTTAGCGTTCAGTTGTTCAAGTTTACAGACAACAATGTTATATTCTCATACTAAATGATTATCTTCTTCTTTCTTCTTTCTTTCCACATTCAGGTGATGAGTGGTACTTGTGCAGGTTGACTCTGAGCATGCCCAGTCAGGCTGACCTGCAGTGGGGGATGTTTCCGTCGCCTTACCTGGGCGCCGTGGGTCCTGATGCCACATCTGGCTCTGTGGTCTACCGGCTGTCAGCGAGACAACGAGACGGCGCGCTGGGACAAGCTCAGTTCCTCCTACTTGACGGTACATTCTCCTGATACGTTAGCAGAATTAGTTTTGCATTGCTGTTTAAGTCAGGATCATCAAATTAACTCAAAACGTGTGAAATGTATGAATGAACCCCCAGAACTAAAGCAAAAATATCTTATGAAGATGTTAGCTAAATCTGTTAAGAGAGAGTCATCATCTACAGTGAACATCGGCTGAAAAGCCACGTATAGAGGAAGAAGCCAACCAGATTTGCAACTACACTCATGGACAAAGACCTTAGTTATGGATTATCTATCTGTCTGTCCATCTGTTCATCAAGTAATGGGCACCACTAACTAAAATACTAGCTATGCTAACTAACTCCAAAGAACTAATCATAAACATTAGCTCAATTAATGCTATGCTAATGGTGTTAGCCTGCTAAAATGCTAAATTCAACCATTCAACTGTAGGTTTACAAAACAACCAACTAAATTAATGCCTTAGAAATTACTTGGGAAAATTAATTATGCAAATTTTCACAGTTAGCAAAAATGCTAAAGTGGTAAGCAAAATATCAGCTCTGCTATTAGCGCATTAGCATCTATCTATCTATCTATCTATCTATCTATCTATCTATCTATCTATCTATCTATCTATCTATCTATCTATCTATCTATCATCTTGCTTTGTATCTTTTTTCTTTTTTTACCTGTCACAGTCAAACCTTGTTTTCCCAGTCTATTTTTCTCTAAACCTGTCGTGTCTTTGCTTTTATCTCCTGCCTGTATCTGTAATTAGGTCCGCTCCTACTCTGCCAGGCACTCTGTGACAAACCTGTTTTGCTCAAAGGAGTGATTTATAAATAAAGATTGACTTGTTGGATTTCAATTACTGTCAAGAGGGAAATGGAGAAAAAAAGTGCATAAAAAGCACAGAGCTGCACTCTTAATCGCTCCCCGGGGCAAAGAAATGCGAATAATAGCAAAGTCTCAGGAGAGGAAGGTAGCGAGTGGGAGAGTTAAAGGGTGGGCGTACGGGTGCCGGTGGCTGTGGATTTTTATTTTTAATTATTATTATTTTTACATTTTATGAGAGAAGAAGAAGAGAAGAGGAGGAAGAAGAAGGAATGATATTTATAGAGCTAATTTTTAATGCTCCCATATTAAAAGCTTCCCTTTGGGATAATGTGAGCACGTGTGCACTGACGAATAATCCAGTAATTTCAGTTAAAATCTGCGTTTGGCATCATGTCAAAGTGAAAATGTGTAGCCAGTGTGTATGTGTAGCACGGACCTAATCAGTGGCAATAATAGGATTTTACCCAATGTGAACATCAAAAATTTACTGTTTATTATCGTGTTTTTTTTTCCTACTCGCCACCAAAACAAAATAACTTTTAGAACATCACACAAAAATTAGCCATAATGGTAGCTAGCTTTTATTACCAGTAGGATTTTTAGATTTACTTCACTTCTGCAGAAAGTCAAAAGTGATTGCTGGCTTTAAGAGAATCTATTTATGCTTTAAATTTGCTCAGTGCTATGTTTATTAACTAATTAGCAGTTAGTAAAATACAAGAAAGAGATTTTAGCATGTTTTACATTCAGTTAAGTTAAAGTACTTTCTCATCTGGTGACAGTAAGGAGATATGAAATAATGGAAAATCTGATCCACCTTCTACTTAAAAACACTAGAAAGAAACATCAAACATGAATTAAAACAATATAAACTTGTATCCTTATGGGTTTTTATATCTAAAGAACAGAAAGGACGCTCTCTACCTCCTGCTGTTCCTCTATTGCGTTGCACCACAGCACAAAACTCTGCTAACACCTTCAATGTTCCAGTTTTCTCAAAAGATTTGAGCTTACAACACACCTTCATGTCAAGTTGGAGAGGGTTTCACGTTAGCCTAATCAAAATGGATAGCAGCTTTTGAAAATAATGAAAGAGCAGAGCCGTAGGAGGAGATCAAACAGTTTAAGTATAGTTTTATCCCACTGGAGGTTGTTAATTTCGAAACCTTTCGTAATTAGTGACAGCTAATTGGAAACACAGAAAGAGACAATTAAAAAATAAAACATTTTTATAATTGAGACAATCAAATCTTTGAAGAACTTTAATGCTGATTTTTTTTCTCCTCTTGCACACACATTGTTTTTATAGAGACTGAAATGAATCTGTCACAGGAAAAATATCCAAGAAGGAGGAGATGATTGACAGTTGGGCTGCAGCTGCTGCTGCAGAACCCTCTGGTCAACAGCTGGGGATTCTTCTCCTTTTCTTCCCCTCGTCTTCGTTCTCATCTCCTTTTCCATTATTCCTCACTTCCTCCACATCTCTCACTTCCACTCTGCTGGCAGCTTTCCATCCTTCCTCTTCCTCCTTTTCTTCTTTCTTTATTCCTCATCTCTCCATCACTTACTTCCTCCTGCTTCCCGCTCTCTGTCTCATAAACCCAGAGGGACGTGAGTGAAAATGAGCCCACTCTTCTTTTTTTTTTCCTGCGTCTTCAGAGAGCGTTAACTAGCTCATAGAACACACATAAATAAACACACAGCCAGCATGCCTCCAGCATCAATTTGCCTCAATTGGCTTTTCATAATTGGACAGCTGGGACTCCGTCTCTTTATTTATACACAAGTGGACAAGTTGAAAGATGATTGTTTATGTGAAAAAAAAAAAAATCCACAAATGAATGTATTGTTTGAATAATGGCAACATTCATTAAATAGTTAGAGAACTGTAAAGGCAAGTTATTCATTAAAATGCTTTAAACTGAAAGCATGATCAAAAAAGAATAGCTCAGAGTTCAAAGTACAGAAGTAAATATGAAATTTAGTAATAATAGCAAACACCAGTCCTGTGTAAATACACAATGACAATTCAAGCAGGGAAAATTTACTGTATTTTCAGCATGTATATATATATCATTTTTTCTTTCTTTTTTAGGTGGTGAGGAGTGCTTTGAAGTGGACCGTCGCTCTGGGCTGATTAGGACCACAGGACGACCTCTGACCCCCAGCAGGGAGTACCATCTGCGGGTCCAGGCGGTGGACGGACGAGGCCGTAAAGGCCCACCAGCCACTGTTTCCATCCTTGCTGGATACCGACCGCCACAGTTTACCAACTCCACCTACAGCCTGAACGTGCTGGAAAACACGCCTGTTGGCCAACCGTGAGTCCCACCAACACAAATATTATCAGTACCTCTTATATAGATGGTCAAACAAGCCTGAAAATACAAGGCCTTGCATAAGTATTGATACTATTTGAGTTTTTCAACATATTCTTATGCAACACCCACAAGCTTTGATGGAATTTGTTGTAATAGAGCAGCATAAAGTTGCATGTTATGTACTTTTGTTAGTTTATAAATCACTGAATGACTTAACACCAAAATACAATACCGACCCAAACCAGAACCAAAACATGGAGAAGCAGCATTCAGCTTCTATGTGCCACAAATCTGGAACAAACTTCCAAAAAACTGCAAAACAGCCGAAACACTGAGTTCCTTTAAATCACAGCTGAAAACCCAACTGCTTAGAGTTGCCCTTGATTCATAATAAATGAAACATTGATCAAAACATTTGAAGTGTACCTGCTTGATGATTTTGATGATGGTATTTGACAAAATGTAATATTTATTGCTTGCTTGTACAATGTTGTTTTGATGTCAGACACTATGAACTGCATTGTTGCTAAAATGTGCTATACTATTAACTTAACGCGATCTATATTGTTAAGGGGAAGAAAAATGAGACATGTAAGTTTGGGGTTCATATATTTTCACGCCCCTTTTCTTCAACACCCCTAAATAAAATCCGGTTCAACCAACTGGCTTTGGAAGTTACCCGAGACATGGCCGTCCACCTAAACCTACAAGACAGGCAAGGAGATCATCAATCAGAGAAGCAGCCAGTACGGACACTTTCTAATCTCAAATTTGATAATTATGAAAGAGTGGAAAGAAGAACATTCAGTCAGAGCTACTATATTCATCTGTGGCCTAGTCAAAGTCCATGTCTAAATTCAAAGATATTCACAGGGGCTTCTCACTGGTTTTGAGGTATTATGTGAAGAGATTACAAACATTCTAGGGGCTTGTTGCATATTTTTAAAGGTGCTAATAAACAAATATAAATAAGTAAAAATGTCTTGTTATGGTATGGAGAACTATTGTTCAGAGTTTATACTGCATTCAGTGGGTATATACTGCATGCAAGCCACTGTGCACAACGCTATACTGGCATGATATCAATAAACGCTAAATTATAGAGCCATGAAAAGGTTATTAACCCAAATTTATGTTTTACCTTCCACATCTGCAATCCCATCATTTACATTCCAATGCCATAAAAAATGAATGGATTTTGCGAGTCTGCCTCTGTGAGGTTTTTTCTCGTGTGTGTGCTCGTTGTTGTGCTTTGCATGTCATGTGATGCATGAAAAGATGAGCCCCGAAGAGCGAGACAAAAGAAAAGAGGAAGAGGAAGGAAGAGGTAGACAAACAGAAGAGAGAAAATAGAAGAGAAGAAGAGGATGGGAGACAGAGGGATGAAGAGGAGGAGAAGGAAGGGGGTGGGATGGAGGAAGAGGGCCCAGATGTATGAGTGTGGCCTGAGGCTGAGAATTTGAAAGTGTGGCAAATTCAAATATTTATTAAAAGTGAGGTCTGGATAAACATGAAGGGGAGTGTGTGAGTGTGTTGAATCCCCCAGGGCTGCTGGCGCAAAGCACATTGTATTAATATCCAAGTATCCATGCCACCCTCTGAGCGCTGTGTGGGTGTAGCTCAGTATGGGTTTTTTCTGTGTCTCAGCCTTCCATTATATATGTTTTGCATGCCCTTGCGTGTGTCTGTGTGTACGTGTTTCTCTTTTAATCAAATTGATTAACCAGGTCTGAGCATGGCACCTTAGAGCTCAGAATAATCCATGAAGACTGCAGAGTTTAAGAGCAGCACCAGCGTGTCACCAAGTCTGTTTGGAGTCGTACATGAAGAGCAGCTTTCCTCTGACCTGTGCTCATGTTTACCCTGCATACAAGATGAAATAAATGAACAAACACAGCAACATTATCGTTTACTCACATATGAGGTACAGAGGTAACACATTAACACGTTTTAATGTTGGACTTTCTCATTGTCATTAAAATGACCTGAGTCAAAGTTTGTTAAATTAGGTACGCAACAACATTTCTACAGAAACTCAAAAGAATAAAGTCTAATTCTCTATGTTTTCTTGGGCTTTGCAGTGAGAGTATGGCAATGCAAGTTTATTTGTTTTGCAAATAAATTTCAACAATGTTGCATAAAGAAAACATTAAGCACAAAACATAAAAACCTGATGCTGCTTCTTCAGGTTTGCTTCTGGTTCTGGGGATGTAGAGTAGACTGGAGCTAGAAGATCTTATGTTGTTTATCAAATTCAACATTATATATTTTACTATGAATTAGACAGGGAAAATATGTTTTCATAAAGAGGGAAAGACTGACGCTCATCTCGGTGTAATCTCAGAGAGCTCCAGCAGAACCAGCCTACATGTGGTTCACAGAAATAAAATGTGAACCACATGTAGGTTATAATTATAATTTTTCTGGCTCATCTCGAACCTTTCTGTGTGTGTTTGTGGTCAGGGTTGCTGTGGTTCAGGCTGTCTCCTTCCAGAAGAAGAGTCTGTCCTACATGTTACTGATTAACCCCGGAAACCTGTTCAGCATCAACCAGGAAAGCGGCGCTCTGAGCCTCACCCGATCGGTCGACTACGAGAGCGGTCACAACCTGCACACCCTGCAGGTCCGAGCCTCTGAAAGCGACACCGGCCTCAGCGGCGTTGCAGAGGTACGCATCAATGCCATCAGATTTACTGAGTCCTGTTTGTACTGCTTCAGTAAGAAACATCCCAACAACTTCAGCAGAGCTAAATCTGAATAAATTGAGCATTAATTATGCCATGAATACCTTGAGAAGCCAGGGATGTGATGAAAATATTCCAGTCTACTCATGAAAAAAAGTGTATTTTTATCTAAACTTTTATATTGTAGACAAGCTTTTTTGGCTAAAAAATATCTGAGCTCAAAAGGACTTTGGATCAGAAATGTTTTTAATCTGAAGGAAGATTATTTTCATTGTCAACTCTCCCAGAACATAATTATAAGGTTGTAATTTTCCTTGTGTTCTTTGAATTACACGCCTCAAATTGTTGATAGAAGTAATGCATTCAACACTTTGTCATAATTGTGAAATCTGTGTTAAATGTGGCAATCAGTAGTTCCTGTAATGACTTTCAGGGAATCATGTTTTCCATTTCTGTCAGGTGTAAATGCACCGATACGTACTTTAATCCAGTAAAAACAATGAAAAAAACATTTGACTCTACAGTGGCACACACAGCTGCTTTTATTATCTTTCTCATGATGAGCCTGTCAATATATATAACACAACACATGTAATGGTTCATAACTAGTCTTACTATAACAAATCTTACTGTAATGTAAATTGTCCCAGAAGTTATCGCAATAAACAATATTATCTTTGTTTTGAGGCCAACATATGCACCACCTTTTTCATTTTTCTGCAAAAGCTTTTGAATATTCTTCAAAAGCAAACACATTCAAATGTCCGACACATTTTATTTTTAAACTTGCATCATGTTCCAGATGGAAACTACTTGTTTTCACTACCCAACGTGGTGAGTAACTTTCCCAGTGATTCCTCACTGTGACCTGAAGACCAGTGGTGTTCACCTTGTTAAGCGATCTGGTCATTTTGCAGCTCAGGACAAAATGTGAATGTTATCCAGGGACTCAGATGTCGCCATGACCTCTGTGTGTTGCGTATGCATTCACACCTGTAGCTGAGGCTGAGCCTGTGATCAAATCACCCCAGAGGCTCAACAACGTCAGGCGTGAACAAGGTCACAGTTTACTGACCTGTGATGACAGTCACTGTGAAGTGTTATTCTGTGAACGCAGTGTCCCGGCACACTTTGCCAAAGCGCATTCATTTCAATGCTTGACAACTAAACAGTATCACAATTAATTAGACACAAAAAGCTATTGATTCAATAAGTTACCAACTAATATTTTAAGTTAACATTGAAGAATATTGTCTTGCTTTTTCTACTTTCTAATCTATGTTGTAAACAGTGAATACCAAGCCAATAAAAAGAGAGGTTCACATAACAACAGCCAACTGGTTAAGGTTTGACAGAACTGTTTAAACTCGACGGTCTTTTAGCTGGTGTGCTATATAAATAAAAATTCACTACCATCACAACTTATCAACTCTCACTTTTAAAAAAGCATCTGAACGTGCTGACGCCTAACTGCTCTCAAGCTGCTCTCTGATGAAAACACGTTCATTTCTGAATCAGATGCAATGATGCAACCGTTGAAATTTATAACTTACTGAGCATACGTTACGCATACTTAAATTAGAAACAGCAGATTAAGCTTTTTTTATGAAAACCCTCAATTTCAACGCTGTATGCAAAAAAACTAAACATCCTGTCTACAAGCACAACTACAAACTACCTTTTCATCTTTTGGTAAGCTATGCAAATTATATGAAGCAAAGATCTACACCTTCCCGCTAATGCATATTAACATGCAGTGGATGCATGGCTTTTTGCTCCATAAACTCATACTGAAATTAGTGCAAGGACTTTTTTTCAGTTTGGAGTTTTTGTTCGATATTACAGGCTGATTGAAGTTTTAAGTTTCATATTTAGAAATAGTAGCTGTCATTGTTCATTAGTCTGTCAAAATCCAGACAAAATTTATACACGTTATGCTTAAATCTTAGCAACCGAAGACAGAAGGACTTTCCACTCATCACTCATTGGACTTGTGTTCACACCGAGCATCAGAAGCCAAAAGTTGCTCTTTATGATTTGCACCACATAATTTAATAATTGTATGGTAAAATTTGTCAGCTACTCGTGTTTTATGATGACAGTATTTCTTTAACAATTTAAAGAGTACAATTTCCACTTGAGAGCTTTTAAAAATCCAGTTCTTACAGTTACAGAAATAGTGGTGAGATCTAATGTCCTTCATTCAAGTTCCTACGGAAAACAAATATTTTGTTCCTAATGGGAACATATTTCTTTTACAAAGTCAAAAATTGTTACCATTTTCCTTCTCTTTAGAAAGAAATCACAAAACATCTCCTGCAGATAACACAAGGGTTTAATTATGCTTCAGGTAATTACTATTGACAGGTGATTACTGACTGTTCCACATCACTCAGGGTGATTTGTGCTTCACATTTTACCTACAAAGTAAACAGAATAAAGCCGTTTGTTTTCTTTTCTCCTTCAAATTAATCTTTTAAAGCAGAAATGTTCTTTTCTGGAAAAATCCTAAATTAAATGGCTTTAAAATGAAAAGAATACATTTTGTCCTTGTTTACACTAGTTTGTTTTCTATATGCTCTGTGCATACTTGCAGAGGCAGCCACACATCTAAATCCTCTCAGCCTCACCATTGCTGCCCTGCTGCCCAGACTAAACAGGTGGTGTGTTTGAGGTTCAGGACTGCAGAGGAAATCTGTGCTCAGGTGGTCACATCAGCAGCCTCACCAGTTAATTCAGCTTTTATGAGAATAAAAACAAACTATTATGCTTCAGTTCTGGCATGTTGGATGGGGGAACAGGAACAAAGGTGAGATAAAGACACAGAGAGGATTGAGATTTAAGGGCTTAAAGCACGGACAGACAAATGGTCATGAATTAGTTTCTCCTTAAGCATCAGATATACAGCTTTACAGTGGCATCTGTATCTGCAGTTTTTAACACTAGAACATCAAACAAACACCCTGATATCACTATAGAAGGTAGTGAGAAAATCATATTTGTCATTTACCACATCCCAGATGGATTAACAGACACCTAAAGCAGAATTTTGAATTTGTGATGTTTTTGTGGTTCTGTTTGATTTAAAACTATTTTATTTCATGGCCTGATCACAACACACACACAAACCTTTCTCCATATGGATGACAGAGAAAGATGAGTGGTTCTAGCTTTGCTTCTGACTGATCCTCTAGTTCATGGTGTTACTATGAAGATCCATACAATTATAGAAAAATACTTCACAGACAGAAATAACTAGGGATTAACAATATATCTGGATTATGATCAGAAACGGCACATTGGTGTCATTACAATAAGGAAAACTGGGCTTATATTATATGTTATCACAGTGCCAAAAGGGCAGTAAATTATATGTAATATTGGTTATTGGCCGAGGCAGTTTAATTAATATCAATATCGGCTCAGATTTCCACCCCGGTGCAGACGTTACCTGTATTTTTCTGATTGATCTGTGGATCCATACAGAGATGAGCATCTATTTGCATGAGAAACACTAAAACTAAATGAGCTTTTTCCTCCAGGTCATTGTCCACATAACGGATGAGAACGATTGCACACCAGAGTTTCTTCACTCCATCTACACCAGAGATAACATACCTGAGAGCGTCGCACCTGGAACCTCACTACTGCAAGGTAACACAAACTGATGAGTCTGCTGAAGTTTTAACACCATGCATCATGATGAGACCAGTTATTTCCCTTAATCCTGTTGTTTTTTTTCTTTTGTGTGTCCACATTTATAGGTTTTTCCTCCTGATTCCTTACATTCTTTCACTCTCGGTCCATTGTTGTTTTCCTTTTGCTGTGTTTCCATCGTTCTTTTTTCTTGGGATCTTCTCAGTTTTTTTTTTTCCTTTTCATCCCCTCACATATCCAAATCTCTTGTTTACAGGTTCCTCTTCTCTTTTGAGTGGCTTTCTACTTGTTTTCTTCTATCTCGTTCATCCACCTTCTTTTCTTTTTCCTCTCCTTTTGCTAACATAAATCCACATTCATTCCCTTTTAATTCCCTCATCTTTCTCCTTTCCACCTCATTTGTCTTCCTCCTTTAACGTCTTTCAGTTTTTTTCTTCTCCTGTCCTCAACTATTTCTTCTTTTAGATGTTTTTCACCACATTTCCTCTTTTTATTCCCATCAGTTCTGGCTCGCGACTGTGATTCCGGTGTGAACTCCGAGATCTCCTACTTCATCCCGAGTGGCGATTTTGACATCACATCCGGGGGTGTGGTCAGCCCTGCCCGTCGCCTGGACTATGAGCGGCCCAATCACATCTACGAGTTTGTAGTTGTCGCAGTGGATGCAGGGACGCCTCCTCGAACTGGGACAGCCTCTGTTCGTGTCCGTGTGGCTAACACCAACGATGAGGTGCCGGTCTTCTCCCAAAGCGTGTAAGAACCTCCGTCTGTTAGTATCTGATCATCTCAGTGTGGATTTTACTTTACTTAATAGTAAAGAAGTCAGATGTCAGCATCTCTCTTGTTTTTACTCCACAGAGACAATCTGCTAATTGAGGTGTTTTTTAAGTCAGAGTTTATTTTTATTTCTGCTTCCTCCATCTCTTTCTGTTTCATCTTCACTTCAATCAATCCAGGCTCTTTCCTTCACACTACTATGTGTAGTACATTTTTCCTTGCACTTCTTACTTTGTTACTTTATGCAACATCACATCCTACCTTTCCCAATGTCCTCCAGCACAGTTAAAGGTTGTTTCCCTCTTTCTTGCAGCTATAAAACCTTCCTCAGTGAGGATGCTGGTCCCGACACGCTGGTCGCCATTGTTCACGCCAATGACCCTGATGGGGACGGCGTCTCTTACGCCATCACAGGTGGCAATGAGGACAGCAACTTCCAGCTAGACAACCAAAAAGGTGAGATAAAAGCAACAGAGCTTTTGTCAAGTTGAACTTCTGCTGAAACAGAAGATCCAGATCAAGATTTTTGTCTGATGTTGTTCTACATCATTTAAATTTGGAGTGCTAATGAAGATGCTATGCAGAGGTGAAAGTGTGCCCCGCACTGCGTAGAACATTTCAGCAACAAGGTGGTTGAATTTTACATGAAAAAAATGTAACACAATAACCAATTATATTCAAAACAGAAAACAAGCAACAAACATTACATATTAGTCAAATAATTTACATTTTGCTGCACCTCTGTGCACCCTACTACATTTTAAGTTGTTGTCCTATAGATTAACACTTTAATTTTTATCCTTTTTTACGATATGACTGTCGTAATTCAACTACGTCTTTCATTGCATTTTTATTTTAAGGCTATATGAACAAAATGTTCAAAAAAGTTAATATTCTCACAAAAACTCAGACTACAATTGAAGGACATAAAAATAGACAGATTATAAAACTCCCAGAGTGCATCACACCAAACTATCACTCCTTTCTGCTGCTGGACATGTTCCCTCTGGTAACAGACAGCAAGTAAGGCATTGAAATAATATTCAAGTTGATTAAAAAATGCTTAAATTTGGTCTTGAAGAATGTAAATAGCTAACTCAAATTTAAAATGAATGTGAGCAGTAGATTAAGCATTTCTCTAGGCAGTAGATGGTTTTGTTCTGAAAACATTCCTCCTTTTCCAGCTCTGCCTCTAATGGGACAGTAATGAATGTCAACATATTGTTTTTTTCAGCAAGCAGAGCGCTCTGACACACACAAACAAGGGGAACAATCACTTTTACACATGTACACACACAACAGCAGTGTTCAGATCATTTACAATTACACACACACATGCACACAGCAAAGTGGTTGTTTCCATAGTAACAAGTATTTGGGGATAAAGCGTGATAGTATTAACGAGGCCAGTGTACCCCCTGGAAGACACACTCACCACAAACGCATAAATAAAAAAACAAACACATAAATAATCACTGTGTATGCGTGTGTGTGTGCACACACACACACGCATACACACACAAACACAGCTGTCCCTGATGTACTTCACTCATTTGAATATTTGTGCACCTATTTTTGTGAGGACCATTTTATCCTTTTGTGACTGAAAAATAAAAACTTGTTTATGTGCCAAACTAGACACGAAGTATGTGGAATGCACACTTTGCTTTTCCATTTTTCTCTCCAGTGTTTTAAGAGTGACAGTGACAACGGTTGCTGAAGGCATTTTGTTTTTTGGGCTGTGTATCTTTGCTGTTCGTCTCAGCAATGCTTTAAGGGATGCTTTAAAAAAATACAAACTTCTCAAATGTTCTGTTGGACTCCAGTGGCAGGAGCATCATTGTTTTAGCGTCTCTGCAGCATCATTCAGTGTCTTTCATGATGGCATTTTCAATGTTGCCAGTGTATACTTTCTTGCAACATGTATATCTTTTGACCATTTTTGAAAGCTGTTCATGTTGTTTTTCAGTGACTCGCAACAAAGTGTAAAGAAGAAGTGAGCAATGTTTCATGCTACAATGAACACTAGACAATATGCTCAATATACCTGGAAAATTTGGCCAATGAAGGTTTACTGCACCTGTTACAGTGGTCACTTTTATGCAATTGAACAAATAGTCCAAAAAAGGACAAAAATAACTATATAGAATTATCTGAAAGGTTAAATGAAGACAATTAGAGTGATGTTGAGATTCTCTCTCTCAAGCAGCTCTTATTATTTAGGTCATTGAGAAAGAACATCTGGAATTTGGGATCAATTTTCTTCTTCCCTGTTGATTGGAGGAATGAGGTTTGCCCTGATTCCCACAGAGTAGCCTGATCTCAATAGACTGGTTCCCAGTGTGAATTGATGGTGCACTTGACTTGTATTTGTAAGTCCTGAAACGTCTCTTTGATAAGTCAGAAATAAGAAAAAGCAAGATAAATAAATAAAAAAAATAGAGCGACCCCTGAAGCTGAGTTAAATTTTAGTGTGATTTTCAGCTTGATAAAACATTGAATAATAATGAGACATTAAACCAGTGCTGTGCACACTGTTGTCCTTGTACTTTGAAACAAGGCTCTGAATCCCATTGCAAACGACAGAGAGGAGACCGTTCTGGTTTTAATACATGTAAAGGAGAGAAATAAGATGTTTGTCAAGGGCTGCTAAGAACAGTTAGCACCACAAATGTGAGTAAATCCCTTCTATTTTCTGACATTCAACTAGAAATCACTAATTTCTGGTTGAAAAACCAGAAATTAGTGATCTGGGAGTTCAGATCACTCCCAGATCTGAACTTTGACATCCAAGACAATTCATTGCAGCATGACATTGACACACCAGACTCCGTTGTTAATATAGCATAGCTGCAGAAATGCTGCATGTGGGAGTCCACCTCTTGTTGCTCTAGCAGTGCCAATATGATGACTGGTGTCCTCCACACTTTTTTATTTTTGCATTCTGGTTTTCCTGCAGCTTGTTTTGTTTGACAAAATGTGTTTTTTCCTTGAAAATTACCTCAGTTTGTTCCTCCTACTGTTTCTCTCTTTCAAGCCTGGGAAAATGTTGGCACGGCGTTCTTTCATTACATCCCAGGGGTCATTCCAAAGAGAGCCAGCCACAGCGTCATCTCTTTTTACAGTGCAGGTGTTCGAGCTGTGGGCTCTGCTTGGCCTGATGAGCAACACAGGAGGATGTTTTGGTGAATTTTCCTCTGTATTGGAATTTGGAAAAACATGGTCTCTTTTTCTTCAAGGTGGCAGAAATAAAGCAGACAGAACAGACAGCCACAAAGTGGGTTTTCTCTAGAAAAATCTCGTCTTTCCACATAAATGATGTACTAAGACTCTCTCCCAGATGTCCATGTCATGTCAGCAAGAGTAGCAAATCAGCAATCATTAAGATGTTTTTTGGCAAAGGTGAGACAATCTCTCGTGTGGTTTTGGCCTTGAAACTCTTCCATGAATTATATTTTTGCTCAGGATCTCTTTCCTATTGTTGAATTATGAGAACAGACCTCAGGCAAGTGAAGTCTGCAGTGCTTAAGACACCGTCCTGTTTTGTATGGTCTTGTTTGGACATGAAATGTTAGTTTTTGCGATCTTTTAGCCCACTTTGTGTTATCAGACAGGTTCTGTTTAAATGTCTTTTTTTTATCCTATTCTTAAATTTGACAGTAAATCTGTGCAGGGACCTAAACTTTAAGGTGATGGCAGTGAGGCTTGGAGCTCCTTACCAAAAATAAATTGTCAAAATGTCAATAGAAACATAAAAAAAGTTGATTGCTGTCATACCAAAAAATACATTTGCAATGGTTGTTGAAAAAGGTATAAATAACTTTTGCCCTTTTTTCTATACAAATTTCTTTTGAATTGATAATCACTTTACATTATTTTAATATCTCTTAGGAGAGGATTTTATATCAAAAACATTTGCATCACTTTCGTCCCTGTTTAACTTTTTTCTGACTCTTCTTCTTTCCTCAGTCTTGAAGAAAGTTTGCACACAAGCCCAAAGCTTGGAAAAATAATATATACCCTGCTGCCAACCCACTTTTTGTTGGTCAGAGGAAATTAAATGCCGGTTAACTCTGAAGCCCTAGGTTCTGTTGTCCGTTCTTTTCTGCCACTTTAAACTTTATTTCCCCTGAGGCTCTGTTTGAGCATAACTTTTTTAAGGAGGGTCAAAGTTTTGGGGGTCAGTTCTTTGATGTAGCCACATGCACTGCTCCACTGTTCTCATGCATCCGTGCACAAAAAGAAATAAATGTGAACATTTGCACATAAATGTTGTATTAACGCTTTTTTTCACACACTCAGACACACCTCCACACACGCAGGCACACACTCATCTGCACTCATGCAGCAGATGGCCTTTGGCTTGCTCGGATGTTCTGCTTTGTCACTTCAAAGCGTTGTGAAGTATTTTCATGTAGATGTGATCGCGCCCTCTCAGCCTGCGTGTCTATATTCATGCTGCTACCAAAGCTGCTTGTTTGTTTGTTTGCGATGCCTCTCTGTTATGTTAATGCCGCAGCGATTGTTAGCGCAGAAAAATGGCATTTGTTTTACACCTGAGTTGGGATAATGTGAGGGTTTTTCGCACGCTGTTGCTTCAGTTGACAGTCGCTGCTGTTGTTGACCCACAGAGCAGGAAACATCACAGCGCCGCTTTTCATCTCCGGTGTTTTTTAAACTCAACACGTCCGCTGTTATTTATACTCACCAGCAGGATTTTCTTTGTGGATGCTGTGGCTCAGAAACAACCGCAGCAACTTGAGCAGTAGCTCCCGGGTGCTTTGTTATACTTTCTGTTTGCTGAAACATTTTTAATTTTCTTTTTCCTCTAGAGAAGTTTATGTATTGCCATCTGGCACACACAAAACAAACAAACAAACAAACAAACAATCTTGTGATGCTGCTGAACAGGATTTCTAAAGCAAAGACACTTTGTAACAAAAACAAATGATCAGTATTTTTAAAATTTTTGTGTCTAGGCATCATCAAGCTGCGACGGAGCCCACCGCCCAGACTCAGGGGCCCGCAATACGTCCTCAACATCACCGCCACAGATGACAATGCTTCTGGTGGTCCCTATCCACTCAGCAGCGCCGCACAGGTCATCGTTGGGATCAACGACATCAACAACAACAAGCCTGTGTTTGATGAGGTTCCACATTTTATCCCATATTATGGATAAAAACGCATCAACAGCTTTTTCATCTCCCTGACTGTAACGTTTGTTTCTGTCAGTGTCAGAACTACAATGCAGCGGTTCTGGAGAACCAGCCGCCAGGGACGTTCGTGCTCCGCGTGGAGGCTCACGACGCAGACATGGGGGTCAACGGAGAGGTCAAATATGGCATCATGCACAGAGACGGTGTGTCGTCTGGGTTTGATATTGATCCTCACACTGGTAAGCTCTAAAGAGGCACCTAATGTTCCAAAATAAACTAAGAATCAACCAGTTAGATAAAATTGTAATATATACAATGATATAAACTACCAATTATTTTAGTAAATGATTATTCTATCAATAATTTTGACAATCAGTTAAAAAAATGGCACATTCTGTAGATTTTCCATATAACCACAAACTTATTTTGTAAAATATTAGAAATAATTAAACAAATTTTAAAATAACAAAATAAACAGTTTGTTTTTGCCTAAAATGCTATAACATCATTCCTTTAGTGAATACTTAATCATTTGGAGCATCTGCTGCTAAAAATGCTTTCAACATATGAAAATCTCAGCCCTTTGTACTGTATTGACATCAATACAGCGTAGAGCTGATCTAGTGATCATTGTATTGATTAATCAATAAGTGGACAGCAAAAGGTACTAAATAGATCTTTTTTTTCTGAATTTGAAGAGAGTGAAGCTAAAACTACCACTTGAAGGATTCTAGGTTGAGCATAATTACACCTTAAATGGAACATGTATATATTTTGTACAGTTTTGGCTTAAATACTGATCTAACTATGTTGTTCTTTTAGTAAATGTCCTTTCTATTGGGTCTGTATAATCCAGTGACTATTTAATCAATCACTAAGTTAGTTGACATCTTCATCTGATTAATTGTTTTAGCCCTAACATAGTGTCTTGTGTAAATTGTGTCTTATTAGGTGTGATCGCCACAGCAGTGAGTTTTGACAGGGAGCGTCAGAGGGAATTCACGCTTTCTGTGACGGCCACCGATCAGGCTGAAGAGCCACTGATTGGCATCTGTCAGATCACGGTGCTGATCCTGGATCAGAACGACAACGACCCCAAGTTTGAAAACAGCCGCTACCAGTGTAAGTGCTGCTGCAAGACATTCTCTTTCCCAGCAGATGAGCTGGAGGACGTGTGTGGACTATTTGTCCATTTCCAGCTCAACACGAAGCATCATCTAGTCAAGAATGTTTACAGGAAAAAGGTGACGTGAAAGCCTCATGTTTGTTGTCACTGACGTCTGCTAATCTGCATCTTTGTAATCCTGGAAAGCTCTTCATACTGATGAAATATTCGCAGCGAGCCTCCATGGATCTGTGTTTGTTTACTGTCTGTGCAAATATGTGTTTTGATAAGCGTCTTGTCAGAAGTTCTCCGCGTCCGATTACAGAAACGCGCAGAGTGGCTCATTAACTATTTAAGAGGCAGATTTAAATGTTTCTGGGACATGAATTTATTTACCGCTGGTTAGTGAGTGTTTGCATGCTCTCCTGCCAGAAAGCACTTTTATTTAGTTGGCTTATTATTCATATTGTGGTCTTAATACACATGCAGCACCGTGCAAAGGTTCTGGGTTTCGGGGCGGCGATAAGCAGCTGGTGTGTGTTTTCTCCTTACTTTCTAATAGCTCTAACATATTCGGCACTTCCCTTTTCCTGCAGAGAAGTCTGTTTACTGTGAAGTATCCTCCGGCTGCAGAAACGACTTTCAGACATCTGTGAACATGAAAGTAATTCTAAACTTAGGATAGAAGTATAAAAATCCAGCACTTGCGTTAAAGTTTTGGATTTTGCTGCAAACATTAACAAATAGGAGAAGCAAAAACAGCCTCTGCCAAACTTATATTCAATGTTTGTGGCAACTCAAACTCAACTCAGTGTGGATTTGACTAGGCTAGTCCAGAACATGCACCTTGCTGTCTTTGCACCGTTTTTGTATCGTTTCAGCTGGATGCTTCAAGTTGTGGAAATAAATGTTCTCCAAAGCAGCAGATTTCCCAATGTTTTACTGGATAATCTACGACTTCTGACTTTGTACTTCAAATTCTGAATAAAAAGTCAAAATTTGGAGTAAAAAATTCTCCAAATTCTGACTTCTCCAAAGTCAGAATTTTGATTATTTTGATTAGCATTGTTCACCTCCAGTCTTCACAAGCCTTCCAGGGCTGCTGCTGAGAATCATCCCCACAGCATGATGCCACTACCACCATGCTTCATAGTGGTGATGGTGTGTTTGCTGTGACTTGGTGTCCACCAAAACCTGTACACATTGTGTCCAAGCCCAGTCCAACCCGGCTCATTAACTTCAATTATAGGTCTGAGGTAAAAGTGACATACCATTTTAATAAGATTATTTTTTAGACCTTAATTTGAGTAAGCAGTGCAAATTCTCCTGTTTTTAACATCTTCCAGTTCCAATTTGTCGCCTGATATAACCGCAGGTTGAGTCGAGTGCAAATCGTCTGGTATGTGTGATTGAAGGACCTGTACATTTATTGTGCTTGTTACTGTCTAATGAACTTCTGCACCTTACTTTCTTTTCTTCCTCTTCAGGATGAGCTGCCAAGTCCTCCATTAGACTAAATAAGTAGATTAACACAACTTATGCATTCTCGTGTTGTCAGGTGCTGCATGAATTGTACGTGCCATAGAAGACCAATTCCAAGAACTTTCTATTATTTTGTAGAAATCTCTTTTCACTTTGACATCAAGGGGATTATTTTGTCAAAAAGGCTACATTTTGTTGATCACAACTGATTTGTGAAAGCAGTAAAAAGGGTAAAACATCCAAGAAGGTGAATACTTTTCCTAGTATTCACCTTCTTGGTGACATTTTTGGTGCTATGGGGATCTACAGATTGCTTGGATAGAACACCTGCTTAGAAAATTACTATTTTTATCAACATTTCCTAAAAACAACTAAATTACAGTGGAGCCTCACAGTCCAAACTGTTTGTCACAGTGAAGGCTTAAATACTCTATTTTTTATTGGATTTCTCATTATATTTAGCAGAATATGAGGTGATTTTTCAATTGTAATGCTTTCACAGAGACTCCCAAATATGCAAAGGATGAAAAAGCAGCATTTCAGGGAGAAAATGCAGCAGTCGACATCCTTTCTTCTCGTTGTTTTGGTTCTGATCAGCACTGACACGCGCCGCAGTCAGCAGGATTTGAGGTTATATTCATAAATATAAAAATGCATGTTGACTTTGTGGAATGAGACCCAGAAATGACAAAATGAGGTGACACTCTGCTGACACATCACAATCCTGCGTTCCTATTATTATAATGTCTGCTTACAGCCACACAATGTGGTGGTAAACTTTGTTCCATCAAATTTAATAAAATATATTTGTCATGGTTGAGTGAGAATGGGTGGAGCACGATGGTCTACATCTAGCATCTTTCTGGACATTAAACCAAATCTTTTTCTATTTTCAGACTTCCTAAGAGAGGACACTCCAGTTGGAACTAGTTTTTTACGGGCGGCGGCACACGACGACGATCAGGGGAGCAATGCAGCCATCACCTACTCACTGTCCAACCAGAAGCCAGCTTACCTGCACATCAACCCCAACACTGGCTGGATTTATGTCAACCATCCAATCTCACAGGTCAGAAACACAGCAGGAGTCCGCAGGTTCAAACTTAGTCTAACTTCATGCCAGCCTTCAGTTCACTCCAAAAGTATTCATACACCCTAGAGATTTTCCACATTTTGCACAAACTTTAATGTATTCTCTTTCAATTTTATGTGAATCAACAAATGAGTGCAAAACTATTAACTGCAAAGACTTCTGTTTTCGAGTTGCAAATACAGCTGTAACTGAATGGTTTATGTTGGAGCTTATTTGTGTGTTAGAATGGTCTAGTCAAAGGCCAATCCGAAATCCTATTGCGAATCGTAAGTAAGCAGGTAAAATGCTTCCAAAATCCAACCTGACTTTAGTTTTAGCTTTTTTGTGGAATGGGCAGAAATGTTAGTGCCCAGATGTGCAAAACTTTAGCTCAGACGGACTAAATACAACTAACTATAACATTTTTACAGTAAATGGTATGAACACCTGTTGTTGTAATGAACCAAAGTATGAATAAGAATTCTTATGCTTTACAGGCGTATCAATTCTTCTGGAAATAAATTCTTCATTTTTTTCCTTAAATTATGTTTTCTACCTACTGTTTAATGAAACTTAAAGTTTGCCTTTGTAATTGATGACAAAATATATTGATAAAGATTTTGCACATCATCGTCTTAAAATCTAAATCTTACACGTCAATATGAATGACGATATTACTGACTTGTCAATATTTTAACAATTATCTCCTTATGTAAGCACACGTTTGGTTCTCCACAGGCCAAATGAAGAGTAATTTTACTTTGTTTAATCTCTCTACCTTTTTGCTTAAAGACGTCCCGGATCAACCAGCAGATCTTGGCCTCAGACGGAGGAAACCGCAGCAGCTCTGTGGAGCTGACCGTCATCATTACCAACGTTCACAACCAGCCGCCCCTCTGGGATCAGCCCGAATACTGGGTCACTGTGCCGGAAAACACTGTCCGAGATGCTAAAATAGTGGTGAGTCAGAGACCACAACACTTTCAGATTACAGACTTAAACAGAATAAACGATTTTACAACAACTATGACTTTTCATAATCACTGGACAAAACGTAGGGATGATTTTATCCAAGCTGCACAGAAATATGTCTGCATGATTATTTTTCTGTGGTTGTCAGGACTTATTTAGGCATTTATCACTTGCAGACAATGAGTATTGATATGAGCACCCATCAGTGCTACTACACCGTTTGCAATTATTTTGAAAATATATTTCCAATCTCATTTTACTTACTTAGAGCACACTTTGTGTATTTTTTACAATTTTAATGCAAAACATTTTTACTAAATTTGAACATTTACTGGATTTATTTTTTTAACACACTTTTGCCTGACCAGTTAGATGAAGCTTTTCATTTGACTCATTTTCTTTGTTTCCGTAGGAATCCCTGAAACAGTTATCATGTTAACAAGCCTTTTAGATTTTGAAATACAGAAATATTGCTTTGTGGAACGTAACTCGAAAAGTTTTTTCAGCAAATTTGTGAATGCTAAACCACAAATAGGCAAAGGTTAACTTTATAATACATATGACAATCCAACAGTTTGCATTGCTCTTGGTGATGAAAGGTTTTGTTGCAGCTGCTTAGCGATGGAAACCAATTTCCATGAAGCTCTCTGTGAAATGCTGTTGAGCTAATATGAAGGCAGAATAATTTCTAGAGGTCTGTAACTGTTGACTGCAGAAAGTTCATGAACTCTGTGCACCACTCACCATCTGGTGACCCCACTTTGTGATTTTATTTGACCCACCACTTCATGACCACAATGCTGTAATTTCTGATCTTTGTTATATCATCACTAACAGTTGACTGTGGATTTTCTAGAAGGGAAAAAATTTCTCAACTGAACATCTTGTCATGGTACTGAACTTTGAGTAGAGGCAGTCTACAGCTTATGTGCTTGATTTTGTGCACCTGGAGCCATTGAATTGATTGGGTCAACAGTTATTTAGAGCTGTGACCCAATACTTTTGGCAATATAGTCAGGGTTTCTTTGTGATAATTTTGATAACCAAATAAAAATGCAGATTCACATTTAGACTAGTTTCACACAACAAGTGACTGCGACTCAAATCAGACTTTTTTTTTCTTATATTTGACCCAAATCCAACTTTTTCATGACTGTCTGAACGGCCCAATTCTGATCTCTTCACCCCCAAAAAAGAAAAAAATGTCTGATTTGTACCATCTCCACGTGGAACTCAGTATGTTACATATCTGATTGTTTTCAATACGTTTGCAGCCATTTAATCCAACTTTTACTTCATTGACACATTCATCATAATTCTGTACCAGAAGATAAAACAGGACACAAACAGTGGCTGAAAACTATGAAATTATGTATTAAGTCTATTCTAATAGAGCACATCACACCAGTCCTCACTGATCTAAACATCCAAACTGACTTCTCTACAGACATTGCAAAGTTCCACAAAACACTGTTGCTACTTGTGCTCTCTTTTTTTTATTAGCTTCCTTCGTCTTGCTATGATTTTGTGGTAATACTGTCAGCTCCTGTTGCTGAATAAACTATAAGATCAATCTATAAATGGCAGCATCCATTATTACTCCCATAAGCAATGCACAGTTTGCATATTAGTTTAGTTAGTGGTATGAACAACCATGCAAAAAAAAATTTTAAAATACAATTTCAGCCAAAAAAATCTGAATTGAGCCTCAAAACCTGCTTTGTGAACGTAGCCTTAGATCAGTGGTTCCGCCTTAAAGTCTTTCCAAACTGCTGTTTTCTAGTAGAAGCAGTTTCCAACATTCTATCTCTAGTCCTGTTTTCTGTTTTTTCTTGAGTGACATGTGCAGGACTAATACCTTATTTATTTCCTCTTTGAGATGGGTTGAAAAAGAAAATAATGAATATTGAAAGTTTTCGCTTCTCATCCCAGATTTTTAGGCTCTTTTGGGAATATCTTTTGCGACTTCTTCAAAAAAAATCCCAACTATCCCGGTTGTCCCCAATTGTTGCTGATTAGGAAATTACCACTTGTGCTGATCCGAGTTGTAAAGCGACACGTTTTGCGGGGAAACGTAAAAAAGCAGGAATATTTAAGCCCAGTTGTTCTCCTGCAGCAGCGAAACAGCTCTCTTTCATTTCCATCCCTCGTCATGCCTTTGCAGAGCGCCCCGAGGAGGCTGGAAACACTCTTTCTTCCTCTTCATCCTGCTCTCTCATCCGTCCCTTCCTCCTTCTCCCCGTCTCTGTGTCAGCACGTTTAGCCGAGCTCCACCAAGCACTTTTCTGCCGAGTAAACAACAAACCCGCCCCGAGTCTGTCTCACCTGACTCACAGCAACCAACACACACGCGTACAGCTTGTAGACCTCAAGGGTTTCTCTTTTTTTTTCCTCTTTTGATCCCCCCATCCTAATTTGTTCTCTCTTCCTAAGCCTCTAGTTTTGGAGGTGGAGGAGGTTTCACCCTCCAGCTGCTCGATTTCACGGAGGTTAGTCAGTTTTCAAACAGTGTTTTTGGGCGTGTATCGGTGTGTGTTTCTGTGCTCCTTTTAGAACATTTTTTACTGAAAGTCCTGAAAAGTGCTGCTGGTGATTGGAGGTTGTTCCACCCACACGCTCCATCTGTCAGAGATGATTGAGGGGAAGGGGAAAATTACACCTGCTGTCTGAGCATCACAATGGACTCCCATCACCTCCGAAAAACAGACGTTTAATTATTGTGTTTAACCTGACAGAGACGGTGCGAGGGAGGCAGGAGGGAAGGAGGGAGAGAAAGGTGGTGGGAGGAGGGGGAGTCGAAGGAAACGGACTCACACATTGTTGATTTCAGTCTTTTTATAGGCATGGTTGGCAGCATGAAAAATATAAAAGAATATGAGTTTTTTTCTTTCTCTTGGATGAACATAGCAGCCACTGGTTTTTATTGCATTCTTTCTGAGGAGTGAATGTGTTTATATGGCTTTTGGAGTGATGGAAATGTAAGGGTGATATGGGGATTTTTATGCACATTATTTGAACATTTTATGATGTAATCTTTAGGTGAATTTATTGGGACATCAACTGGAACTTTTGTTTCTGTCTTAAATGTTTTTTCATGTTTTACAATGATGAAATTTAAATAGTTTTGATCGGCTCTCTAAGGTCACTGCTGATGTCTTTTCAACTTGGCATTGTGTGACAAACACCTGTATTCGCTAAACCATTAAATTACCAAATGTCCTGCTTTTATAGAGAGTTTCACGGCTCTTTTGTATTAATTAAGAGGAATTTTTATGCAAGGGTTAGTTTCAAACTGCTTTAACAAAATTGTTGTATTCATGAAATCCAGGCAACCTGGAGAAGTTGTGAGAATATTAATGATTGTTTCTGTTTGAACAGTTGTTAAATTTGACCATTTATTACAATTAAATATAATTGAATATAATAATCTTAGAAAAGAAACACTGATTTGAGGTATGGGTTATGTCCTCGATCTTTCAAAATCTTCGTTCAATGTAAAATAAAAACGAAAGCAAAAGAAGATAGAAGTGTAGAAATAATAAGCAATGTTGAACAACTAGCTGCGTTTCCATTACAAATATGCTGAAAAAACACAATTTTGCAATTGCTATATTCCTATTAAATAATAAACAATATTAAAATCACGCTTGAATAAGTTTGCTGACGTGATAAGTCATTAAAAAGCATGCCGTCCCATGATCCTCCACCCACTTCCTCTTGACTACTTCGTCTTTTCCGACAGAAGACGCATCCAGTTATTGATCACATGACTTATTGATGTGAAAAAAGTGTTTGCAGTTTTGTGAAATGCACTAATTTTGAAACACCAGAAAAATCACTTCATCCTAACACAAGAACTTTCTATCAAAATTCTTGTTTGTTTGTTTTTTCAAAATTGGAGTGTTTCCATTAAGTAGATTTATTTTCATTATTACAATTTGCACAATTAAATGATAAATGGAAAAGCAGCTACTATCTGCCATTTAACAGAGAATCTAACAAACAACCACTAAACCTGTACTGAGGTAGCAATAGCCCTTGTGCAGGAAATCAATTTAGCTAATTAAAATATATAATATACCAGATCTGACAACTTACACAAATCACTCAAAGGACTGAAATATGTCCTCATGTCTTCCTCCTTCGTCTCCTCTGCAGTGGGTAATTGCACCAAGGAGAAACTGTTGTTTTAAATTTAGCAGCCTTAATAAGGTCTGTTAATCACTTTGTTAATGAGGCAGAGGGAGAAACATGCTGCAGTGGTGGAAGGTGCTGTGTGTTAAATCTCCATATCAATAAGCTGTTGTCATCTCCCACTCAGGGTATAATAGTCTCCTCATCAGTTGACTTCCTCCTCTTGCTTTCTTCTCCAACCTGTTTGTGTATTCTCATGGAACAGGAACTTTTAGCTATAGCTTAACCTTATAATGTTTAATTTTTGCAGTCCAGTGTTGCTTTCCAGTATAAGAAGCTGACTGCTGAAAAAACTTTATTGTCCCTCAGTGGGGAAACTCAGGTGTGCCAGCATCAAAGTGACAGGCAAGCAAAAGCAAGCAGGTTTTCATCAACAAAGTAAAATTATAAAAAACATAAAGTAAGAATTAGATTGTACAGAGGAGAAAACAGAATTATCAAAGATAATCCTCACTCTACTTCCAGGCTTTATGATTAAAACGTAAAATGAAAAAACAATGAATTAAGAGTCCAAAGCTGAAGTATTTTTGCTATATTTTCCATATTGTCTTGTTGCAGATCTGCTGTGTGAACTTTCTTCACCCACTTCTAAAATACAGTTGATTACCAAAACGTCAGTACTGAAAGTTTATAAAACAGCCAAGTAAATTAGTGCTTTATGATTTATCTAGAGTACTAAATGTCTTCAAAGTTAGCAAAAAAGCTTAGCTGAAGTGCTAAGCTAAAAATTAGCTCTGCTATTAGCACATTAGTAGATTAGTGGAAGTGAGCCCACCATTGCAGAAATGTTGCTACATCATACAGCCATAAAAAAAATTGTTATGAAACACAAAAACACAAAACTACAAAAATACTTAAGCATTTCTACTTTTAGTTCAGTGTTTTTTTATGTTCCTGGAAGTTGACTGGTAGTTCATAGATCATATAGTCACCCATATCTCACTCAGATATCAGCTTTTCTCTTCCATATTGTATCTCCTTCCATCCAGTCACATAAAACTGAAGTACAAATCAAACCAGGACTTTAGGACCAAAGTATTTATTTATTTTTGTGTACTGATACACCCCTCAACAAGCAAAACACGTTACTCATCTGCATGAGAGATGAAACTAAAGGAGAAAATAAAAGGTAAGACTTTAGTTTGACCTCACTTACCTTGCTTCAGCATTTTGAAGCGACTAACTTTTAGCAGTGAAGCTGAAAGGATGAAGTGCGTTCCAGCTGCTGCCTCAGTCCCAGCACCAGCCGCACCAGCTGCCAGCCATCTCTAGCCATTAATCTATGTGGGAGAAGATGGCAGATACTGATCAGTTTAGCTTCAGCACACTGCAGCGATGTCTAATGAGATGATTCCTCATTAACACTGATTCCATGCGCTCCGCTGCCCTGGCCTACTGCAGGGCTGAGCCGTGCTGCACCAACATGTCAGGACACGACTTCTCACCTGGAAACTCAAACACACCTTCAACCTAAATGGTTTTTTAAGAATCAAACAAAAGAGGAAAACCTATTTAAGAATATAAAAAGATGTAAATAACATGTTGGGGGAAGTAATTGAAGCAAATATGGCGTATAGGTCATGTTATCTAAAATAAAAACGCTAATTTATTATTCCACTATGAGCCGACCTTATAACCAAGAATCTTTGTGTTTTCTTACGGCATATGTTTCTCCAAATTGCTAAGTCGATAACAAAGACACAGGAGTCACTGTCGCTTGGAAGGAGAGGGCTGAGAGGGTTTTGGTGTTTAAAGATGTTGACAGCATTTCTCACTCAGGGAAGGCATGTTAACTCCAGGAATATATGGAGTTGCTTGGAGGTCATGTTTTCTTTTTCAATTGAGCAAGCCAGTTTCTCTACGCATCAATTCTTTGTGCTAAAATAGATTAAGCATGCCCTTTACCAAAGTGAAATGATTTTACATCGACTGCACACTGGGGCACCTTCCACAAATGATCTACAGATAAACAAGGTGAAGTGTTTATAATTGGCTTTTTTTCCCACTTTAATTATCCCATTAATCATAAATACATATTGTCTAATGTTGATAGAAGTCATGTTAAATGGTGCTGAGACCTGAGTAAAAGATGTCAAATTTTAATGCAGCATCATCCTTCATCAGTTTTCTAAAATGTTTAGGAGATTCTAAAGTATAATTTTAGTAGAATAATAATAAACCTGTTGAAGGTGTTAAATTAGATGGTTTCTGTGTTGATTTGCTACAGAAGACGTAGGTCTGGATCTTCTCTGGAGTCTCCTCCTGCCAGCCAGGAAACCCTAGAGAGGGAAGCAGGAATAGTCTCATTCAGATGCCCATACTATCTTTATACTGTTTTAATGGACATTTACTTATAAATTATGTTTCCAATGCTCTCAGTGTGTGTGTTGGTGCTGCTTAGATCATAAAACTGAACTGTGAAGTGAGTTGACTCAACCATGGAAAGCATGGATGGAAATCTCTGAAGGACAAAATACTCAAAAGCCTTCTCACACAAATACAAACAGGCACACAGACACAATAATCTGTGACTTTAGGGGCATTTCTCCCTTGAAAAAAAATATAAAAAACAACATGAAGTCATCATTTCTACCTTCAACGTCATTGTTATGAAATAGTCACTGTGTTTCTTAAAGATGCCTCACTCTGCTATCTCATGATTATAGCTTTTAATCTGAAAACTAAACTGAACTTTAATTATGATTTGAATTTTATGATTAGGGCTGTCTCATAATTATACCAGTGAAAATCTAAATTGAGTTTGAATCTCATAATTATGATTTTATTGTGAAATTATGCTTGTGAATCTCAATTATGCCTTTGAAAGTCAAAATCATGACTTTCTATCTCAAAATTAGGCCTTTGAATTTCATTTATCACTTAGAATTTCATAATTATGATTTTATATCACATAATTATGACTTTGACGGTCAAAATTAAGACTTTCCATCTCAAAATTAGGACTGAAAGTGAAAATTATAACGTCTTGTTGAGCTTTTATTTTTTTCATACATGATGGAAAGGAGGGTCTAGATTCCTTGAGACTCTTGGTCAGCCAATAGTTGCATCAATCTAACCTTTAAGCAAGATCAGTTTACCTTCAGTTAAGCTCCTGTGCTAGTTGATGACCAACTTAAGACAATTTAAACTCACAGGAGTTCACACAAAAGCTTACTACATAAAAAATAAATAAAAAGCAAGTGATGCACTCAGGGTTTCCATAAAAGGACTGAAATTCTGCTCTGGTCACTAAAATACTGCATTCTTTGAAAAGTATATGTGTATTTTAGTGATTTTTTTCTGTTGTAATAATAGATCAGGAACCTTTTGGATGTGTTTCATAATGAAGGGCTGTAAAGACGACACCAGCTGCATCGCATCGTCACGAACCCACACAATCCTCTTTGGCTTGATTTTCTTTATGAATTATGTTGAGGTTTGCAGTGGAACTTGTCTCTATTTCTGGACTTTAATATAAACTCAAAGCTTAAGCTGAATACACAGAAGAGAAGCTGAGCCATTCAATGGCTGTATAAAGACGTTTCATATTTTTCCTGAGCACTATTGAATACATTCGGTCTAAGTTAAGGCCCCTCTCCTTCTCTATTCACCGCACACCAAATAATAAACTTTAAATACATTATTTAAACAAGAACAGTTTATATATATCATTACAAAAGACTAGAACCAGCTGATCCAACCTGCAACATCAAATGTGAGGAACTTAAAAGCAGAACTTGGTAACCTAAAAGTGAACTTTAACCCCTTTCTGTGATCACATGTTTTTTTTGCTACTGGCACTTTGAACAAATAAAATCTATTTTTCTAATCAGACCGTCAAGGCAACGTCTCCACTTGGCGATCCCAGGGTGACCTACAATCTGGAGGAAGGCCTGGTGCCAGAGACCAACATGCCGGTGCGGTTCTACATCAAACCAAACCGGGTGGACAGCTCGGCGTCGATCCTGGTGGCCGAGAACCTCGACTACGAGATGACACGCTTCTTCACGCTGAGGGTGCGTGTCCAAAACGTCGCAGCCGTGCCTCTCGCATCCTTCTCCACTGTTTACGTCAATGTGACAGGTAAGAATGGCAAAGGCGAGGCTAACATGAATTGTTTTGCAAACGAAGGATTTTCAGCTGTGTTTTCACCTTTCATCAAATTCAACTCTGAATGCCTGTAATTGATGTCATAGTTTATGTCAGCGATATCCAAATTGTTAATTAAGAAGCCAGACAGCCAGAATTTTTAAATTATGGACTATTTTTACCTTACAAGACTGTTTTATAGTCCATGCATGTTATGGTATTGACCTAAGCAATTTGAGTTTTCTCCAAAAAATGTGTGTTTTTGCCCTTTACAGTGACATTAACGGTAAAAGATAGACTGTTTTGGTTGGTGCAGCTCACTGTGTGGAGATGTTAGCTGGTCTATCATTAATTTCACATTGTTCACAGAAAAGTTTATGAAGCAGCAAAAAAAACATTATTCTTTAAGCTTTATTTGCACATGGTTAACTAGGACTGAACTGAAATATCTTACAAACTTAATGATCAAAATTATGTCAAACCAAAGTAAGCATGTTAGCATTAGCATACAATTTTAATAAATACAAGCAAGAAATTAATTTATTAAAGACTTTGGAGCTGTTTTTGTAGAGTCAGATATATCTCTAAAAACAAATAATAAAGCTATGTGTGTTATGTCAGTGCTTTTTAAGGTTCAATGTCTTCCAAACCACAAGCAGCTAGCATGAAAAGACGCAATAACAAAAACTAAATCTTTGATGAACTCACATGAGCATAGTGGAAATGGGCCAGTTAATAAAATCTATTTTGGTTAATCTTCTGTTTTTAAATCCAGAACCCCACTTTTCTAATTTACTGCAGTTTGAACTACATACAAGTAATTGAATATTCACTTGCATGTGAAAAGTCACAGTTTATCTGTGAAGAGCAGAAGCCATCAGTAGGAGCAGCTCAGACGTAATGAGCGACAGCCCTGGAAAACGACGAGGACTGAGAGTAATGAGGTTCCGTGGTCGTCTGTGGCAGAGAAAGAAAAGAGGAAAAACATCAACGGTGTGAGCTCCATGATGCCTCATTTCAAAAGTGACTCATTTCTCAATCAGCATCTGTGGGCGGGTGGGTGGAGGGAAGAAAAGAGGAGAAAACACTTCCTGACTTTGACTGGCTTTGAACAAACCCACTCTGGATGCTCTAATTGGTTTAGCGGAGCTTGAAAGTGAGCTGACAAGCTTCTTTGTGGACACTTCAGGGTGTTATGAGGATAATTCCTCGCTAATAACTCAATTTTCATTTGCAAGGAGAGACCCATTCCAACTTTCTTTTCTGATGGACTTCAGAGCAAAGACGTTTATGTTTTCCTTGTTTCTCTGTTATTCATTTCTGGTGCTCTTTGATCGTTCTGGTGAAGTAAAATGCTGCAAAAACCAAAAAGTTGGTCTGGATTAAATCCAATTTAATCGGCTTTTGTATACACAACAGTTTGTGTTCTGAAAAATAATAATATTCAGGAAAATTAGGAATAATAAATGTCTCTTTTTTTCGTTGTTTTCTATTACAGACGTGAACGACAACGTTCCTTTCTTCCTGTCATCCACCTACGAGGCCACGGTTCCTGAAGGAGCACAGATTGGCACATCGGTCGCTCAGGTCTCAGCGACAGACCTCGACTCGGGCCTGCATGGGATGGTAAGAAACATTTCCTCTGATCCCTTGGCTGAATTTTTACATCCTCCTCTTCTTACTTTGTTGACCTGTCCTCTGCGTCTTCTCTTCAGATCCGCTATACGATCCTGAAGGATGAGAGCGGAGACTCTCAGTACTTCAGCATCGACTCCCACAGCGGCGTCGTAGTAACTCGTGCTTCTTTTGACCGTGAGCAGAAAGCTTCTTACCTGATCGAGGTGCAGTCACAGGATGGCTCCGAGTCGGCCCGACCGGGCCAGCAAGGCCAGCCCAACACAGGTACTCCCCCAGAGTCATCATCTCATTCACTTACTGCATGCACATAATGAACATGCAGAAAGTTTGGCATCAAAGTCAACACTATGATGCCATTAATATCTTAAAAGTGCCAGTCAGAGGTTTCCATACACTCTTCGTGGGCTTTTATTGACTTATTTGAACTATACTTTTAGGGTACATTTTCTTTTCTAAAAAAAAAAAAATCAAGAATTGAATGTAGACATTTGATGCAGCAACATCCTGAAGGTCCTAAATTCAGTGATGATTTAAGAGTACAAAGACACTCTGTGTTGTTCCTTCATGCAGACACTGCCTACCTCAGGATCTTTGTCACCGATGTCAACGACAACGCGCCGGCGTTTGCCCAGCCGGTGTACGAGGTCAGTGTGGAGGAAGACAAGGAGGTGGGCTACGTCCTCATCACTGTCACAGCCAACGACGAGGATGAAGGTTAGTCTGAATCTGGCTTTGTTTTTGGATCGCTCTCTGCTTGGTTGTGGCAAAGTGACGCAAATTATGTTTTTATTCCCATTGTTTGTTTTGTTCTTTAATATAAATCTTTTTTCTACCAATGGAGTTTTATTCCCTTCATGTTTCACCTTAATCTCATCTGCTCTTCTTTTATTTTTTCTTTTTGTCATTCTCTTCCTACTTTTGTTTCTTATTTATTCCATTGTTTTGTTGTATTATCAGACTTTTAACAACACATTTCTGCCCTTTCAGGTTTTTTTTAAAGGTGTTACTTTTTACTTTCAGACCTTCTCAGAATGAAAGTTGTAGACATGTTTGCTTCCTGTTACCATCATGACCAATAGAAATGATTGCTAGTCCCACTGATCCGGTCATCTTGTCCTGCAGGAGTAACACAGAACCACTTTGGTCCGGTTTTATAACGCCTCTTTCTCTTCTTTCCCATTAAGGTCCTAAACTGATTCAGTGCAGAAAATAAACTCCTCTCTAGCTGGAGGACAGTCAGCGCTCTTGGCTGAGTTAAAAAAGACGTAAACACAGACACACAGCTGTAAAAGCAAACTGACATGTCCTTATACAGCATAAGTTATGATTGTAATAAGACATTACTTGCATGTATGCTATGTTTTTGAATATATACAGTCTGAATAAAGTGTTGCATTACAAGGCAGCACTAAAACACAAACATGTTAATGTAATAACTCTGTTTCTACTATATTCCAACTCAGCTTACGTAGTGAATTATTTAGCCAGATGTGTTGCCAGAGATGACACAAATGCAGCTGATGAACTGGGAGGTGAAAGGTTGAAGTGTGTGTGGTTTTAGTGTCTGACTATAAATATTGCATGTTGATTCTGGGACTGTTGTTGTGGACAGCTGGCCTCATTCTGGTCAGTAACAGGATGATGCATAAACCATTTTTGGTGGAGTTGCAATTTTTTTCTGCTATGTTTATGTTTTATAAAACAGACCTAAAAGTGCTAACTTTATCTTAGTGCTTTAAATTAGCTGAAAAAAATCAGGTTCCCGTTTCTTGTGGTCTTGCCACTCTTTCCTCCTCCTCTCCTCACTTCCTTTCCTTGTTTTCTTCTCCATACCTCCTCCGCGCATTTCCTCCCTCTTCTTCTCTCGCTGTCGCAGCTCGTTAGCGAGCGCTGCTGCTCCCTTGAGGTCGACAGTTTTGATGTTTGTCTCTTTGTTTGTTTGTCCCTCATTCCTCTTCCTCCTCCGCTCTAAACCAATAAGCAGCAGGAGGAAAAAGGACAAAAATATCAGAAAACAAAAGCATATTCTCTCTTTCTCCATACTTTTGTTTTTTACGGCTGTTTGGTGTTGGCTCCAACCTCTGAGATTTTCTTTACTAAGGCTGTCAGTGGAGTAAAGTTGGTGAGCGACTCATAACTTATTTTTTTTTAATATTTCATATTTATGTTTTTCTTATTGACTGCTAGCCACATACACATATTCCTGTTCTGTAGTCCTCAGATTTTCATCTCAACAGTCGTCACAAATATTTGTAGTTTTTAACTAAGTTATTAGATTTAAAAGGTAAAATTGGGTTTGGCATGATTAACACTACTCAATAGTTTCATTTTTATGTGAAACTATTGAGTTATATTTAGAAGGACAGCTTTATAGAAGTCCATAAATTGCATAATTGATAGTAATTATTTATTCAACATTTATAATTTGGAGCAGATCATTGACCTTTCAGGTTTGACTTACCATCAAGCTAGTGAATTTGTTTAATTTACTGCTAAAATTATGAAAAACACACATTATTTCTTATAGAGAAGTGAGAGAGATTCAAAAACAAGTTAAATCCCAAACAGATACTTCTGTCTGACACTCTCATTGCTGACACAGCGAGGATCAGATTTAAGGTTTGAGCTAATCCCAGTAGGCCCACCATCTAGCCACCAGTTAGGAAGGTTTAAGGGGACGTTTGAGCTAAGACGTCTGTTTCTGCTGATGTTGGTCTCTGTGCTCCCGAGTGGTCCAGAGCCGCAGGCCGTTTAATTCCTACATGCCGTCACTGGTGTGATAAAAACACTGACGATACCGGATCAGGGATCGTGAGAGAATCAGATGGAGTTTAATGTTTTTGCTTAATTTTAGTCCCATGTTCATGGTGTAGCTGAGGTTTTCAGAAATAAATTGCAAATAGATAAGAAAAGCAAACAATGTTTAATAAAAGATTATCTTAGCTTCAACCATTTTTTCACTAAAATTAAAAGCTGGAGTCTCAACTTATTGGCTTTGTCAGAAATAAAGTTATACAGTAATAGGAGTTTCCACAGTGTTTTAGTCTTTTTTAGAATAATCTTTTCTTAACTGAAAAATAAATACATCTAAGAGTTACTGTATTCATTTTTTTTCTTGATGCATCCTTTACATAAATATTTACTGCTCCCTTACATGTTTATTAAGCAATCATTCTACATGTTGAATGTTTTGATGGGAAAATATTCTTTCTTTATCTTGGGGGTCAGTGCTGGTCAACAAAGACTCTCAAAACGACTCATTTATTGTGTATTGGTTGTGTTGAAGTTTTCTATGTGCTTCTTTTGTTTGTTTATGTGCTTGACATTTATTCAAGTAAGTTTCTTGGAAAAAAGGGAGAATGTGTGGAGAGGAAGCAGAACTACAAACAGTCTTCAGCCACTTCAAAATAAGAGCATGAATATAAATGTCTAAATACTTGAACAATTCTTAACAGTTGATCATCAAAACCTGAACACAGATGTTGAACTTTATTCAAGTAGAGATATTCAAAACAGCTGGAAAAAGAAATTTACGGGTAGCTAAACGTTTTCAAAGTGCTAATGAAAAACTAGCTCAGGTCCTCCTCTCTCTCTGTTAAATTTCTGTGTGGGATGTAATACTTGGGCTGTAACTTAAAATCGCACTAAAATACAAGGGCATTTGTGGCTAAAATGTTATGAGTGAAAAATGTTCAATGAAGCAGATAGTTTCACAGAGTGCAGTTGGTGTGTCTCAAACTACAGGAAGGAATTTGTTATCTTGTTCCTATTGTGATTAAATTCAAGGTTGCCTGACCAGTGAGGCAGTTTGTTTCTTGGCTTGAGGCATTTCCCATACACACATGCTGATTCTGATGTAAATGCTGGATGCATGTTTTCCTGAAGGTCACACAGGATGAAGAATCAAACTCCTGAAAGAGTTAAAGCCGCACACTGAGACTTGATGAGCTATAAAATGTACTGAAGGTTTTATCCTCCAGCTGTACTGTCACCTTGGGTTCTTCAGTGTGTGTGTGTGTTGTACATTATGACCACAGTTTGTTGTTAAAGCTGACAGGTGTTGAAGGACCAGTGACCTTTCAGCCCTGGTATAAACTAGGTACAACAAACACATTTACAGCGGAAATACACACACTGACACTTTAGATCAAACTCCTGCATTCATTTCAGCTTGATTCAGTGTTTGTTGGAATTAGCAGAGGTGAGGTGAAGGGGATTCGAGGGGTGGGTGTAGATCACCCCTCTTCACCTCCCCACTCCCCATAAAGCTGATTAGATGCAGCAGCTTTCGTCGCCCGTCATGTTTTCTGGCTTCATTTGGTCCTCCTAGTGGAAAATGTGCCGAACTAAGAGTGTCGGGTAATGAGATCAAGAGGCTTTTTATCAGTTCTGCTGAGTTCAGTGTTTCAGTTAAGTGTCGCCTCGGGGTTTAGTAAACACGAACAAGCATCTACCGCAGCAGAGAGGTGGAGTGATAATAAGGGATGTGTGATTGGAAGTAACTGGTCGTGTCATGCTGACCAGAAGTCATGTCACTGTGTAAACATCTGCCTCACAAAAATCACTGTTTTTAGTTCTAATACAAAACAATTCAAAGAAATAAAACTGTAATAGATGAGAAGAAGGTCTGCTATCCAATATGACTTCATTATAGCATCTACTTCTGCTTCAGATTCATCTAACACATCTTTTTAGTCAGTTTATAAATGTTGCTTTCACGTTGCTCTCCAGTGTCTTTATGTCACACAACGTGCAACATAAGAGATTTATGGGAATTTTATTGTGAGTTGTTAAAATTTTCACTAGTTCCCCACCTGGACCATACTGGGTTCAGTATTTCTTTTCAGAAAAGAAAATTCAAAACTTAAGAATGAGTAAGGTAATATTTCTGCAGTACATTTCTGTGCACTTTAAAAACTTCAACAACTTGTATGCACAAAAAGTCTTAAATTACTAAACCTTAATTTAAGGCCTTAAAATGTCTTAATTTCTTCTTTAAAAAAAATTAAGTTGGCCTTAAATATGTTAATCACAGGTCTTAAAATTTGTCATTGCAGGACTATTGGAATCTTATATGTAGTTTTTTCTTACTCTTGTGAGTCTTTTCTGTCAGGCAGTAGTTAGAGTGCACACAGGCATCTTCACTGCGTTCTCTGATTTGAGGCGGACGGTAGCTAGCTGCTAATATACCCTTGCTAGCTAAGTAGCCTTTTTTGCATCTATCATCGGTAAGTGCAAGTGTATCATCAGTTGGCTGGACGACGTTCGTTTTTACCACTGGTTGCCAGCCCATACAAGCCCCTATATTAATAGTTTTTTCTGTTTTAAAATTCATTCAAGCTGACATTGAAAAGTCTTAATTTTGACTGAAACCTGCAGACAGCCTGGTGAAGAATTTCTGCCATTTGAGGTAACTTTCAGTTCAGAATTTTCTTACACAGTTTTAAAGTGGAGAGTTTAGTTTGTCAGAGTGTTGACCTGCAGTCGGTGCTCAGGGACGAATTTCCCCTCCGGTCCACCTCATGAGAAGCAGAGATCTGACCTTAATCTCAATTTTGGGTCCTCTGCTAGGCTGTGAATTAAATCAACCCTGTCCCCTAGTGTGCATGTGTGTGTGTGCACATGTGCTGTTGTGTACGTGTGGGGAGGGCAACACCATATGGCCAGGCTGATCATTAGGGAGGCTGCCGGAGGCGAAAAACCGCTGTAGCTACTCCCCTTACACACATTTACATGCACTCCCATTTACACACGCACACCGAGCCGCTCGCTCAAATGTCACCACAGATCGCGCTTCGAGGCTGAGATGGACCGGTGCACTTAAACTTTTCCTCACAGACACAGAAGCACACGATGTTGTAATGAAGCTCTTCCATGTCTCCACAGATGGTGTTTGTCTCCTAAAGTCTCCTTGGTGCCGGTAAACAGAGAGCAAGCTGGACCCAGACAGACCTGCCTCTGGGCTATGAACATGCTTCTGTGTGTGTGTGTGTGTGTGTGTGTGTGTGTGTTTACCTCATCCGTGTGTGTTGGCATTTTTTCACTTCATCAGGAGAGAAGACGAGAGGCCAATAGAGGGAATGAAAGAAGGGATGGGGAGGAGAATAAATGGGAAAAGAGGGGAAAATATGAGAAAGCTGAAAATGGAAAAGAGATAAAAGGAAAAACAAGATGTCAGGGGAGACACGGAGAGCGAAAGGATGGGGAAAAGAGGAGAAAAAGCTGAAGAAGACAGAAGATGAGCTAAGGAGGATAGAAGAAATGGTAATATAAGAAATGTAAATGTTGAGTGGACAGAAAATAGTTAAGGAAAAGAAGGAAATATACATAAATAAAGAGAGTAAAAGACCTAGAGGGAAGGCTTGGAAGATAACAAGGAAGTCAAGGTAACAAGACAAGAAACCAAGGACAAAAGGGAAGAATGGGAGGGAGTAATGCCTGAATAAGGAGGAAGAGAGGGATTTATTCATCACTCAATAATGCATTCATCTTTAAAAATAGCAATATTTAAAGAAAAGAATCACATCACCTTAATTTTTTTCAGATGAACGGGTCTTTGTGGGTGAACTAGTGCTGCATCCATCTCAACCTTTTTTATTTGTAACGTTAAACTGATGACTGACATCAATTTTGTGTCATTAACCAACTTCAGTTTTGGAGCAGATTTTCATTCAAATATATAGTCTGAAATGAGACATTTAGGACATTTTACTCACATTCAGAGACATTTATTCTATTTGGAGAACCAGCATTGATGTGGTCCACTCACTACAGATAGCTGACATTTTTATTTTTAAAGTCTTTTAAATTTTCTATAAATTTTTAAAAGCAAGACTTTAAAGTTCGTTTGAAAAGCTCTGTGTTATTGTGTTTACTGAAGTTTTTAAAATGACTCCTCCATCTTTTATACTTTCCTGGAATGTATGGTCATTAATTTTCCCAAAATTAACATTTTCTAAAACCTGTGGTGGTTTCCTGGGATTTTGTTCAGTCTTGTTCCTTCTATGAAACTTGTATCACAAAAGCCCTGACTCTAATAACACCTCAACTGAAACTAAGCATTTTCTAAGAAAAGAAACTAAGAAAAAATAAACTAAAGCAGCAGACAAATTGCTAAAAATAAGAAGTATAGTAGAATGGACAATCTGAAGTCAAAACTACATAAAAATCAAACATTAAAACCTTCGTCTCAGTTTAGGAAAGAAACTCTAAGTGGTCACATAATAGGTAGTCAAAGCTTGTATTTGGTAAAAAGCTTGTATTTTGCGATTAGGTTAAGGGTTAAATATCAAATTCATGTGAAATCTCCAGGAAAATAATTTCAGCCAAGGTAACATTCTCTGAAGTACTGCATCATAACTCGATGAGCAGGTCTGATGCAGACAAGATGTGAAGGCGTGAGCATCTAATGAGCCCCACTGTGAGGAAGATGCTTGTTTTCTTCTGAGATGTGATATCTGCTGCTGCTGTCCACATGGGTCATCAGTGTGTGTGTGCATGTGTGTGTGTGTCTGTTTCCTCTGCCAATCAAAGATAATCTTCTTTTGCCAGCAATTCCTACAATACTATTCAAAAAGTAAAGTTTCAGAAGAAGAGCTACATACAGCTCAGGTTGTGTTATAGCAGTGATGTCCAAACGGTGGGTGGGGGGCCATTTGTGGTCCTCAGTCCACAATTCAAGAATGTGGTGAAATTGTGATTTATTTGTATAGACTAAATAAAAATCTTAAAATCTTCCTCAAACATTTATTTATTTCGGTACAAAACTAAATATTTTTTCTTCAATTAATCCCAAAAAAGTTTTAAAATATTTACTTAGCAATTGTGCAAGTTTGTAGTGTGTTTATATTTTGGATCGACAATGACTTATAGATTCCTTTACTACAAAATTTTGACTACTGTGCTTTATTAGAATATTATATGTTTAGTATATTATTGAATACATAAAAATAACAGAAGTCTGAGACCCATGACTGTCATCAATTTGACATTTTTGCCCATAATGGCAAAAAGTTAAAGGTTGCGTTAAAGGTTAAAGGTTGTTTTTTTTTTTCTGATCATGTCAAAATAATATATTAACTGCCTCTTTTTCATCAACTGACATTTGAATACGCAGATAATAATAAAATGCCAGGATGGAAAGTTTTTAGAGCAGAAACTGAAACAGCTCAAACTGACCTGGACTCTATTCCTTCCATCCAGGCGCCAACGCTAAGCTGCGCTACCAGATCACTTCAGGAAACGCCATGGGGACCTTCGACGTGGAGCCAGAGGTGGGCACCATCTTTGTAGCTCAGCCGCTCGACTACGAGATGGAGCAGCGCTACGAGCTGCGGCTGGTCGCTTCTGACGGGAAATGGGAGAACGAGACCCTGGTGGTGGTTCAGGTGGTCAACCGCAACGACGAGGCGCCGGTGTTCAGTCAGACGGAGTATCACGCCTCTGTGATGGAGGAGCTCACACAGCTTCCTGTGTTCATCCTGGAGGTCAGAGAATGTGAAGGCTTATTTGTTTTGGGTGTATCACATGGACAATACTCAGTCTTATTCCACTTATTCCGATTTTATGAAAGATGCTGCATTTGCTTTTCCCCTTCAGCAACAATTATGGTTAAAATGGAAGAAAATAACATAGTGCTTGCAATAAATAATACACATTAAAATAAAAGCTACATATTGTTTGAGAGAGAAATTAGAAATTGAGTTTACCAGACTATTGGGTGTGAAAACAACCTAAGACCCTAATGTACCTGATCAGAAAACAACGTATGCAGCATATAATACACTTTTGCAAGTAATCTACTCTGACCTTGTTAAGTGTACAAGCAAGTGAGGAAATGAATGAATGTTTGGATGGTGTTTAACATGTTTTTATTGTCATGCTAAATCATTTAGCCATAACTGGAGATCCGATGTTCACTCATTCCTAATCAAATTATTTGAAATGTAAACCTGTATCACCTTCGACCAAACATACATAATGTACATTATTGTTCAGATGTTAATGTTTATATGAACAATATGTGAAAATGTATCAAGTTTTATGGAGGAAAATGTAATAGCATTAGTTATGCTAAAAATTAGCCTAGAGACCACTAACACATTGCACATGTATGACGGCATCTAACACAAAAACTGGTAAGAGAGACTCCAAGGTGAAATATTAGGTCAAAAAAAGTCTAACAGGAAGTAACCATCGTCCTCAAAGTTGCCTCTAAAATGTTCGTGTTGACCTCATTCTCCTGTTGATCTCATCCACCTTTCGTCACACCTATCTCCGGTAATTCACAATAATTTGCATGTGCTGCCAAGCTAAATAAGATTAAAAAGGTGGAAGCTGGGAGGGGAGGGAAATAATCTCCGTCAGAGGCGCATGTGTCACCCAGTCCTCAACCTGGGCCTGCTTCCCCTCGCCTGCTGGAATTGATTTGATGTGCTTTTGGTTCCTCTCTGACGCTTTCAATAGTCTTTCTGCTGCACGACGGACGGGTCCTCCCTCATCGCGCCGCACTCTCAGCCCTGTGCACTAATGCAATTCAGTAGATAGCGAACGGAAAAGAAAATCCAATTTGAAATGAATATTTTTTGACTTCACCTGCCTCCTCTGTGGTGCCACCGCTGCTCATCTTCAATATTGTGTACCTGCGTCACGTTGTCAGAGGATGCAGAGAGGCGACATGGGGGAGGAGGCTGCGGGGAGGAGGACTTCAAAGGGTTCAGTAAACAAACTCTGGTGACAAAAGAGGAGAAGAAAGGGTAAAAGTGTACTTTTTTTCTTGCCTTTGTCTTTGTCTATTAACTTTTAATTGCATTGTGTGTCTCGGTGACAGATGTGAAGGCTCGACTCATTGCTGCTGCTCTCGTCCCCTCGCTCAGAGAGATAGCAGGAAGGCAGGTTAATTAAGCAAACAGGACAAAGCAGCAGAGAAATGTTTATTCCTGTGTTGTGAAGTCCCAGCGCGCGGGGCCAGCTGCTGCAATCACTTCCCCGCTGCATGTCCTAGTTGCTGGGCTTGACATTTCTACATGCTGGAAAAGCAATTTACCTGTTTTGATAAGAAATACGTGATGAGGAAAGAACGGAACGAGATGAAATATTTGCTTATTAAGGACGGTGTTATTGAATTGTGATGAATGTACTGCTGTTGTACAAATTGTCAGCATAAATAAAAGGTGTGCCTCTTGCTACAGTTTTGATATGGAAAGCAATTAATTTTCAAGAGAAACAAACGGTGTTTTGCAATTATTCAATACCCATTTGAAAGGCTATACGTCATAAAAGCAATCACTCAGAGAGCAAAATGCTTCTCAGAGGTTTATTTTTAGACAAAGCTGAGGTCATCCAATTATGGTGGACGTCTCATTTCTTAAAGCCAACTGCGATCAAGTAAGGAATGTTCCCACCAGTCCGGTTTAGTCCACTTTAGTCGAACTCTGGTTCGTTTGGCTAGAAAGTTTGGTCATTTGGGGAGGAGTGAATGAGCATCAAACTCTGACGCGACTCAAAAAGCAAACTCTGGTCCGCCTAAAAATCTAGCTATCGGTTCAGTTGAAGTGAACTGTGGTGCGGTTTGAATGCATATGTGAACACCAAGGAGACCGGAAACCGCTCCAAAAGCAGAAAGTGTACTACAGCACAGGGCATTCTGGGTAAATACAAAAGAAAAGAAGAAGTGGGAAGAATGATTTCCTTGCTCCTTTTTCACCTTTTCCCTCTTGTTTTTTTTGTAGGTGTCAGCAACAGATCCCGATCAGGAAGCGGACCAGACTGCCCTCCGCTACTCCCTCCATGGCCAGGGTGCCGGTGGTGAGTTCACTATCGACGAACACACCGGAAGGATCTATGCCCAGCGCCGCCTGGACCGGGAGGAGCGCCCCGCCTGGAGATTCCTTGTCCTCGCCACAGACGAGGGCGGAATGGGGCTTACAGGATTCGCTGATGTGCTGTTAGAAGTCCGAGACATTAACGATAACTCCCCCTTCTTTCCGTGCCCCGCCCTAGAGGTAGACGGATGCTTCATTGGCCAAGTGCCTGAAAACTCCCCCGCCGACACTTCCATCATGGAGATGCGTGCCATGGACCTTGACGACCCAAATGAAGGCAGGAATGCCATGCTTACCTACAGCATCATCAAGAACATTCGCAATGAGATCAACCTCAACTTGTTCTCCATAAACGCCACTACCGGGACTATCTACACAGTTCTCCGCTCACTGGACCGGGAGACAGAAGACAAGTATCTGGTTGTGGTGGAGGCCCGGGATGGCGGTGGTTTGTCTGGGACAGGAACAGCCACTATTATGGTTTCAGACGTAAATGACCACCCACCCATCTTTACTCAGAGGGCTTACACCACTCAGGTGAGTCAAACTCTTCAAAGACATCTGATCTGTCGTTCTCTTCCAATATTTACATTACAAGGTTTGTGCAGGTCCTTAAAAACATCTCAATGAATTTCAAGCATTTTCAAGAGTTTTGAATAAAAGATTTTAATTAACGTTTAATTAAAATCCTAAATTTGGAAAGCTTTATTTACAGTTGAAACCAGATATTTAAAAACAATTTTTTTCTCACTGTCTGAAGTCAAATCAGACTAAACGTTTCTTGTTTTAAGTCAGATACAATTACTTAAAATATTTATATTTGCTAAATGCCAGAAAACATTTTTTGAGATTTTTTTGTGACTTTCTTTGTGTATTGTGTTTAAGCAGGAAGGTCAGACCTAAACACAATTTGTTTGGATTGGTTCAGTGTAATTATTATTCCTAATGACTCAATGACTTATTGATCTGTGTAATTGAAATAAATGCTGGCTTATATTTTATATGTTTGACAACATTATTGAAATTGGGGGATTTTCTTATTAGTGTTTTGTTCTCACACCAGTCAGGTGCATAGGGTGACTGAAGGAGAGAAATTTACAAACTTAAAATTTTGTTTACCTTGTCCCTGATATAGAATGTTGAATAGTGTCAAAAAACATTAGTAATAACAACTAATAAAAGACGTCACCCTATATTGAATTGAAACTGTCTTTTTGAGTTTGAAAACGCTTGAAAAAGTACTTGAATTTCACTGTGGGAAAAGTGTACAAACCTTGACATTAGTTGTCATAAAAAATGCCTTTATGTGTCTTCCAGATGAATGAGGATCTGGAGGTAAACAGCGAGGTCCTTGTGGTCTCTGCCACTGATGGAGACGAGGGTGAGAATGCTGTTGTCACCTTCAGCATCGTTGGCGGAGACGAGGAAAGGAAGTTCTTTGTTGAGACGGACAAAGTAAACCGACGTGGCGTGATAAAGCTGAAGAAGAAGGTTGACTTTGAGAAACTCCATGAGCGGACCTTTAATCTCACGCTGAAGGCTGAAGATGCTGACTTTTTCAGCCTGGCCTACTGTCTCGTCCAAGTAGAAGACTCCAACGACCACGCTCCCGTCTTTTTCCCGCAGTTCTATGAGTCGGCTGCCATGTCTGAAGACGTCCCAGTGGGAACGATTGTCGCTCAGGTTACAGCATCTGATTTGGACTCTGGCCTAAATGGACGCTTCTCCTACAGTATTTCGAAGGAGTCCGACCCTTACAGTCAGTTCCTGGTGGATCAGTCTGGTTGGGTGGTTGTCGCTCATTCTCTGGACAGAGAAAAAATCTCCCAGCACAGGATCATGGTTCTCGCAACAGATGCTGGTATCCCACCGCTAACTGGTACCGCTATTGTTATGGTAACTGTTCTCGACATTAATGACAACGGGCCAGAGTTTGAGGCTGCCTATAAGCCTGTTGTTTGGGAGAACACTGCAGCTCCACAGGCCGTGCGAATGAATGAAACGTCCATGCTTCTTCACGCCGTCGACCGAGACACGTCCACCAATGGCGGTCCGTTCTCCATCCGACTCCTGCTTCTGACCTCTGATGCCACAAACTTTAACCTGACAGATTTTCGGAATGGCAGCGCAGCCATCACTGCTCTTCGCAGCTTTGATCGCGAGCGCCAAAAGGAGTACCGCCTTCCCATTCTCATGATTGACAGCGGTTCTCCTCCAGTGAGCTCAACCAGCACGTTGACAGTTGTCATCGGTGATAGAAATGACCATCCGCACTTACCTGGACACACCCATATTGTTGTCTACAGTTTTGAAGGTATGTCCTGCTTTTTTTGCCATCTGATTTGTTGTAAAATTCACGTTTTATACATCCATTTGGATTTACACTATTTCTAAAAACAGCTCAAGTGCTTAAAAAAAACACCCAACCATATTTTGAAGTAAGTAACTCATTATCAGATTTTAAGAACAATTTTGTGCAAAAAATGTAATGAATATGTTTTGTATAGCCTATATCCTAACCTGTTCCATTAAGCAAAACAGGTCACCTTTAAGATTTGTTTTGCATGGTTTTAAATTTGCTTAAATGCTTTATGCTGTTGTAGATTTTATTAGTACAAGCTTTGGGTCTAAATAACCTTTCAGTGTGGAGTTTGGGTGTTCTCTCTGACTTCCCCACTTTCATTCCACCATTAGGAAGTTAATTGAAAATTGCAAATTGGTGTGAATATTTATGTGAATGGTTGGTTGTCCTGTGTCTTTCTGTGTTGGTCCTGTGATGAACTGGCATTTTGTGCAGAGTGCATTCTTCTCCGCCACTAAAAGTGCGAAGTCTTGCAAAGATATATTTGTGTTTCCTTCCTTAATCCTTCCTTTAATAATGTAAACTCTTTTCAAGGTCTTGTATTGACTCAGTCTGTAATTTTTAATACTTTTTAGCAGACAATTCACTAACATTCAGCAAAGACTTTCTAATAATTTCTCAGGAGGGTTTTATAGTGTTTAGTCGCTTTAAGATCTCAGTTCTGAGTTTAACATGTAACGACAACCCCCCTGTTTATTGATCCTTTTATCGTTTACATCATTCAAGTCGATCTTCTGACGTTGTGTGAGCTTTTAGAGCATGTAGCTGGGATCAAAAAGGCTTGATGTAGTCCTGATCAACATTGATCTGAGCAATACGCATAAGTTGTCTGTCAGAAATTTCCCTTATATTTGGCAGAGCTCTGTGTTGCAATCCTCATGTGGGCTGTATGCCTTCCACAAAATGTTATTAACTGCATCTGATTCTGCTGGATGACACATTTTCCAGATCAGACAAACGCTGGAGGATCATAAAGTGGCTCTGCTCTGTTCGCACCTGTAGCCTGTAATACTTCTGCTGCTGCTGTCTTTGCTTTGCATCCTTAAATCTTATATTTTAAGTAACTCTATGATTAGCTCCTGTGGTGGATCAGAGGTGTAATATATGCTGCTCTATTCGCTGGCTGTAATACATAGCTACTATAAAACTGAACACAAGTGTTCAGTTCTGTTCCAATAAATCTCTTTCTGAGACACAATCAGACAGAAAATTGTGAAAGAACAAATTTGATCCTGTAGAGCACACTATACTTAGTTGTAAAGCATGTTGTGCTTTAGCATTAGCTTCTAAATAATAATGTTAATCTAACACCCAAGTGCTAGCATTGCTACTGTTTATAATTAGTGACTTAGTGTTAAGTGGAACTAACTTTTCAATTGGATGGGTGTTTTATCACATTAAATGCATCTCTGTGAGAATGTACCAACCAAAGTTAATAAACAGACAAATTGAAATTATATTATGTAATATAATATTATCATGAACAGCATAAAAATATTACTATCTATAGAGTCAGAAAATGCATATATATCACAAAAGGGAAACACAGTATAAATACAGCAAAAGTGTTGCTGTTAGAAAGGGGTCACAGTACAGTTAGCATGTCTAAAAATGCAGCCACATAGTGATGCATTCATTCGTAGACACACCAACAAAATAAGAGCCGTTTTAGAATCGAGGGTTTATTCTTTGAGATTCTGTTCCACATGTTGTCCTCAGTGCATTATTTTGTACCTAACAAACTCCACTAGAAGAAAGAGAACGTTTGTCCCTCACAAATTATAACTGATTGTCATAGTCAGTTCAAAACCTTCTGAGCCCTTTTTGCTCACGTTGCAAGATCTGTACATGACACAGTCGACTTCTCGCAGCCTCCCACTGCAGCCCCATCACTTATTTAGCATTTCGTACCATCTGTCAGCCTGCTGTAATTTACTGGAAAACTAAGGTTCTCCGTAGTGTATTTTGATGAATTTCCTCTCTGGGGCTTTTCCACATGAGCAGACATTAACCTCCTAATAGGAATCCACCCTGAACCTCGAAAACATGTCATGAAGCAAACAATTAACTCCAGCTTAAGTCCCAGCTTTGATAGGGACATGAACAGGAAGTGAGTTTAAAAGGCAACTTATTTCATGGATAAAGTGATTACATTACTGCTCCGGGGAAAAAACAGAGTGAAAGTTATTCTAATGAGACTCTGTTCCTGATGCGCTATTTAACCATGACCATGTGTGCCAATAAGGTGTCACCTGTGCCTGTACCTTCTGGTGAAGCTTTCAGCCTTTACTCCTACTATTTGGGCTGTACCACAGGGATGCATAATGCATTTTAAACTTTTTCTTCTTGCTTTACTTTCTGCATCCTCACAGGGATTCTCCCAACAACAGCTCTTGGACAAATTCAGTCCCCTGACCTCGATGACTGGAGTGAGAAGGTGTACCGCTTCGATGGCAAACCAACCAGGTAATTTGATCGCATTTGATGAAACACTGAAAAAAACTGCCGAAAGAGGATTTTCGTGAAAGTTTTCCAGTAGTTTCTGCTAGTTAGTATGGAAGAGTCGAGGGACATTAGGAAGAACAAAGTGTAGAAGTGATGAAAATGTCAAGAAACAGCTGAAAAGTCTTCAGTGAGTAGCTTTGATTCCCGTTGAGTAAATGTTCACTAGTGGTTCAAAGGTTTTGAATGCTTGAAGGCATATTAAATGTTAAAACTGACACGAATCAGCAGGATTACAGTAAAGGAAAGTTTATTTATAAAGCACTTTTCACATACAAAAAGTCACAGTGCTGTACAACATGAATCATATTTAAGTTATACATAGTATAAAACCAAGCATAAGTAATGCGCAGTAATAATAATCAGCAATAAAAATGTATACAAGTTAAGCTCACACTTAGGATCTGTCTCTTTTACACTAATTTTAACATTACCAGCTGATCGACCAGCATTTAACTCTTGGAACAGAACATCCATGTTGCAGCTGATGCACAGAATCACCATGAATGCCATATTCAGTTACAGATGTGCAAAACGTCTTAAATGAAGTCAATTTTTAATGCAATAAGATAATCTTTGAGTGAAAAACATGTTTATTTCAGTCTGGAATTGTTTCCCACTTTCCTTTCCATCTTTCTGACTGTCCTTTGTGGCAAAATAAACAGATTCTTCATCAGTTTTAACTTTACTTTGTCTGCAGAAGAATGACATTTTAGGCATGTAGCTATTCTCTTGTAGACATTTTTTGACTAATCTGTCTTAGTTTAATGATAAGTTCAATGATTTTATTTGTCGGAGTTGATTAGAAAAGTGCAGCTGTGTGTCATTTCATATTAGATACTACGAAAACAATGAGTTATTTTTTTATATATTGAACACTATCCCAACACTTATTCAATTAAAAAAGCAAAACATTTTATTTTTATTCTATTAGAAATGAAATTAAAAATCTTTTAAAAAAATATCATTGTTTAAATTCCATTTGCATTAAAGTTTTTTTTTTTTTTTTTTTTTTTTTAAGCTTGATTTTTAAAAATACTTTTTCTATATTTATTTATGGAAATGTTGAGGCCTGCCAGTTATATGTACTCAAATTATAGCATGGAGTTTTTGAAATGTTTTATGTCTGGCATTAGCTACTGCAATAAAATCTGAAACTATTTTGACATTTTATTCCTGGTTAGGCAAAAGGTGAAGCAAAGAAATTAGGCACCAATACAGGAAAGTAAAATAAATAAGTTAAACAGATAGAAAATTATAGGTACAAAAGCGAGAGAAAGAAAGATTAAATCTACACGTAACTTTAGACATAATAGATTCAGTTTGGTGTCATCTAAAACCAACTGGTACAAAAAGATTAAGATGCTAACTCCGTCACTTAGAACATCTTTAGTTCAAGCATGCAGCCTGTTGATGAATTGGATAAAAGAAGTCAGAGGATGGAAGATGTAAAGCAGTTCTATCATGGGAGTAACTCACATGAAACAGATTCTTGGGTAAAGTTTCCCTTCTTATGTGACACAAAGCAGGAAGAGCAAAAAGAAAAGGAAAATAAAAAGTGCACAACGAGTGACAGTTTTGAAATACAGAGGATGAGAGAATACAAAGGTGCAACAGAAAAAAAAGAAACAAAATTGGGCCGTATAATACAGGCAGTTTGAAGGAGGAAACAAAGAGTGGAAGAGACTGAAAAGGGAGGAGAGAGATAGAAAAAGAGATCTTACTTGTCAGGAACAGTGCTATTAATACTTCATAACCAGCGGTATTGAAAATTCCCAGTGAAGCACAGCGAGGGCGAGCTCATTTTGTTTGATGAGACGCGGCTTCACGCGGACGCATTGAAAGGAGAGTCTGATTGCACTCCCCGCCACCTTTTCTTCTAACGAGATACCTACAAGGGGGGACGACAGGAGACGGCCGAGAACAAAAGAACCACTGGGGACAGCATTACCATAGTTACTCGTGATTCACATCCCATCATCTGCGCATCCTGCAGATAGCAATTTGTTTCACAGAATGGTTTAGGTATAGGCTGATGGTTATTTACATATAGAAAAGATAAAACTCGGAGCAAAATAAGAAGCTCAAGGAGTACAGATGAAAACGCATCACTTGGATATTATTAATGTCACCTTGCAGGGACTCAATAGAAGCAGCAGCCTAGATGTAACATATGAGGATATCAGCTTCAAGTCTCTGCAAACAAAACTGTTATAGAAGCAAATAAGCTGTATGTGTTTCACCAAAGTTAACTTTCAGTCATTTTTACCATGAATGTTGGACTTTTAATCATTTATTTGTGCAGCTGCTTTTTCTGGATGGAACATCATACAGCTTCAATTATTATTATTTTTTTTTATAAAGAGTAGTGGGTAGAGCTTACTAAAAAGTTAATTGGGATAACCGTAAATGCCAGTCATAAGTTTTAGTTCTGCAAGAATTTTTACAGCCAATAACCACAATGTCATTACAGATTAACTGAAAGTTTACAAAACAACCAATTAAGTTAACGCTTTTAGAAGGTGTCCAGAAAAATTAAGCTAAGACTGCTAAAAGTTTTTAAAGTTAGCAAAAGCGCTAAACGAATCATCAGCTCCACTATTAGCAGAACAGCAGAAGCGTGCCCACCACTGACACAAAATAAAAGGAAAAATGTACATTTTGCCTCTTTAAGTATCATGAGAAGGTCCAGTCTATTTTAGTTTCTTGAGACAATTACTTTCATGATGTTTGACAGATAAACGCCTAATGATAATATAAATGTGTTCCTGTTGTAGGTTGTTCGGTCTGAATCAGAGCTCAGGTCAGCTCAGCATCAGGGAGGGAACTCCTCCAGGCACATACCGCCTGCAGGTGCGTGTGTCCGACAGCACATGGCCTGATGTCATCTCCACCGCTCAGGTGGATGTCACAGAGCTGCACCAGGAGGCCCTGCAGCGAGCTGGCTCTGTTCGCCTCAACAGTGAGTTCCCACAACATGATGTGTTAAAAAGAGAGCTATTTTACCACTAAAGGCTGTTGAGAGATGCACATTAAAAATAACTAACTTCAGTTAGTTATTTTTAGATATTTTTTCTAAGAATAGTTATCCAACTTTTAAACCTCTAAGGTCACCGAAAAGCAAAAAAAAAAAAAAAAGCAGCTAATATAAAATAAGACCTCCCTCTTCTGTGTTGTCATCTTTGTTCCCAAAGAATATTTAAAATACAAGCAGGAACATCTGCTCTTCTTCCAGATCTTACAGTAGAGGGCTTTTTCCAGAGTAGCAGCGGAGGTCAGGGGAGTCGGTTTTCCCGTCTGGGGCAAATGTTGGCTGAAATCCTGCAGACGTTGCCAGAGAACGTCCAGATATTCTCTGTAGGCAAAGCCGACCAGCTGAGTTACAGAGCGCTGGATGTCTGGTTTGCTGCACACGGCTCACCGTACTACAAGGCGGAGAAGCTTCATGGATATGTGGCGGCAAACAAAGCCAAGGTAAGACTCAAAAATCACCTAAAAACTACGTCTATAAATATCGTCCTTATTAAGACACAGTTTTTCAGAAATATAAGCAAGAATCATCATTTTAGATAATTGAGATTGAGATAAACAATCATTAGTTCCAAAACTCCTTCATGTTTGATGGCTGCTTTTCAATTCCTCTAAAACAAAATTAAAAAGAAGAGAGTGGAAGATTTATTTAGACTCCTGGTGAAGTTTAAACGCACTTTAAACTGTTCACACTTGGACAAATATGTAGTTATGAAAATAAACTGAACATGTTGTGTAAACAATGATTTAATTTTGTGATAGATTCCAATTTTCCATGCAAACAACATGGAGATGAATATTTAACATGCATTAAAAGCTGCGGAGCTGCATCTGACGTTTACTTCCACGACAGGCAGCTCATCATGCCAGTTAGTGAACCAGGCATAAAAACATACAGAACATGTGTGCACACGTTGACTGGGCAAGGTCATATGCAAATGTCTTACTCTGGGCTGCCTCACTGCTCATGTTTTCTTAATGGAACCATTAAAAGGTCATAAAATAGCAAGAGGAAAAATTATGTTTATATCTTTAACAAAAATAAGGTTTTAGTTGAAAGACAGGCACATTAAAATATATTGTGTTTTCTTTTAATTCAAAGTGGAAGAGTTTTTTATTTTTATTGCAAACAGATTTATCTAGAAGTATGTTAGAACGAAATGATCTGATGAGATATTTTTGGAAAAAGTAATCGCAGTTCAGAATACTACAATGAAACATAACATTTTGAGATTATAAATTTAAAAACTTAAAATATGCATAAATGCCGATAAAGTTACTTAACTTTATCGGCTGCATACAGACAAATAATGATGTTAGAAAGGAAAAAGTTTCCCATGTTTTCATACCATTGCAATGAAGGATGTATTCCTAATGGTTATAGGAAGGATGGGAATGTGAAAAGTTTGAGCAAAATAACTCTTCTGATATTTCATACTGATTGTTTTATTTATAATTGGGTCTTAGGACTTAAAAATTCAATTGTTCTATCCAAACATGTTGCTTTTCCATGCATAGATTCAACATTATAGGAAATTAGCAAATCCAAACTCATTACTATAACAGTAACTATTTCAATGGGAGCTATTTTGGTTCTTCTGACCTGAATAAATTGACGCAGCCTGGTTCAAAAGAGTATTCAACAACAAAATAAGGTCATCAAAACAATAAAAACATGTAAAAATCAGTTCAAAGCACACAAAAAATAAAAACAAGCTAAACATCAAATACCAAAGAAGAAAGTGTGCGTTTAATTGTCATAGGCTGGAAAGAAAATTATTTTGTCTAATCTATAAGATATTTATAAGATAATTCATAAGATATGGACATTATAAGATATTATATCTTCTACCTGCTCCTTTTCGAACAGAAAATATAAAATTTGCATGTCACATGGGCAAAATAATTTGTTTTACATTTTATTTCTTAAGTTTCTTTCATTCTATTTTATTTTGTTTTTCTTTTTATCTTGATTGTCTTTTCTGTCTGTTTGAAATAAATAAATACATTTAGAATAATAAAGACAGAATATGAAATTAAAAGATTATGTAGACATTTTGGAGCCATACGTTGAAGCTCTGCATGAGGAATATCAAGCACTTTGAATAAAAGTATCAGATGGATCTTGAAAAACCTCAAAAAAGCATAAATAAATGCAGAGAAACCCTGAGGGACTCTGATTGGCGGGGAAAACGCTCTTTGAGGCAAAATAAGAGAAAAAGAGTCCAAATGACAAGCAGAGAAAATGAGTGAATTTGGCAACAGAGGGAGGAAATGACAACAAAACAAGAAATGACAAGAAAAGCACTAAAGTGCATAAATAATATTACGGGAAATGAATCAAATTCAAAAACTGTTGATGCGGTTTAGACATAAGATCAAAGTCAGATGCTCTTATTTTTTGAAACTCTCTAATTTATGTTCAAACAATATTCATGTCACTTTATCTTGTTATTCTAGTGTTGCATTAAAATCCCATTTGTCTTCATTTCAGATTTATTCTTTATTTGCATGTTGTTTGCATAAAAGGCCACTTTCTGAGTGTTCAGTTACATTTTGGGATGTAGTTTAAGTGTCTGGCAAAGTGGAGCTTTTTCTACATTCTGTGTTTTAAATTAGGATATTTTTTTAAGTGGATAAACTCTGTATTTCACTTTATTTTTTGCCAATCTGGCATTATTTTCTTTTAGCCTCACCTTTATGTGCTACTTTATGTTGCCATAGCACCTAAAATCCCAGTAAAACACCTTAAATATTGTGTTTGTGATGTGAATAAATTTGATAAACGTCAAAGGATATGAATGCTTTTGCAAACCACTGTGATAATTTAAATATTTATTCCTACATTTTGTCCAATTTTTGTCCTATTGAGAGCAAATAAAATTATATAAATCAAATAAAAAAAATATATTTTTAATCTGTTTTCATCCTTATTTCTCCATCCTGCCCAGCTGGAGGCCATGTTGGGCGTGTCCGTCAGCCAGGTGGGCGTGGATGGCTGTCCGTACACAGACTGCAGCCAGTATGGAGGCTGCAGCAGCGAGGTTTCATTCAGCCAGGTCCCTGTGGCTCTGAACTCCGGTAACGTCTCTCTGGTGTCGCTGTCGGCCTCGACGACCGCGCACTGTGGCTGCCGAGGGCGAGAGGCGACCCACCTGACATGCTCTGCCTATCCCATCAACCCCTGTCTCAACGGAGGCACCTGCCAGGATGGCCCTCTGGGATACCGGTATAAAATTTAAGACAAAAATACACCTTTAATCTATAAATCTATTGTCTGAGCTTTTATAAGAACTGAAATTTATTCCATTAGATAATAAATCGTATGGAAGTGATTAGGGTCACTGAAACAAAAAAAACCAGACATATTCTGACTTTTTCTTTAATCTCACAATTCAGACTATAAATTATGTCATTATCTTGAGATCAAATACAGAATTCAGAGGAAAAAATAATAATTTTAAGATTAAAGTCAGAAATTTGAAATAAAAATCTGAAATTTCAGGGAAAAAAATCACACTTTTGAGATTTTACCCAAAATTTCAAGATTAAAGACCAAATTCTGAGAAAAGTCATAATTTTAAGATTAAAATCAGAAAGTCAGAATTCTGAGTTTAAAGTCAAAAGTTTGAGAAAAAAATCATATTTTTGAGAGTAAATTCAGAATTAGAAAATTATACTGAGAATTTTGACTTTAATATGAGAATTCTGAGAAAAAACATCATAAATTTAATATTAAAGTCAGAAAGTCACAATTTTGAGATTAAAATCAGAAGTTTGAGGAAGAAAATTATAATTTTGAGATTGAAGTTAGAATTCTGGATGAAACTTTTTTTCGCTGACCCAGCACCCTGTACCATGAAAATGTAAATTAAATACTGGATCTCCGCCACATTGGCATCGTTTATTTTCTCTGTAGTTCTCCTGATTTTAAGCATGTCTGTCCTTGGCAGCTAACAGGCGTCTCAAACTGTTATCGTCACGGTTTGAAGCTGGTAGAAATTTCCCATTTGTTAACTAAAGAACTCAGGCGAAATCTGTCAAACATGCTAAAAGATTTAAGAAGCGAGCCAGCGGTTTCCATCTGCAGTAATAATACTCTGAGGCTCCGTTTTTCAGCTGCTTGGACTGCAGCTGACTTTGAATTGTCACATAACTATATTAGTTTAGATTGGAGCTGAAATATTGCAGCTGCTGAATCCCGACAGCTGGTTTCTCTTTCAAAGGTTTATAACTTTGGAAAAGAAACTTTCAAGTTGATTTCAGTTAAAACCAAGAAAACTCCTTTTTGAGGATTTAATGATTTCTTTTCTTGTTTACGCTTTCATATGTTTTTCTTTTTCTTTTTAACATGACAAGCCACAAAAGAAAACTACACTGGGGGCCTCAGAAGTTTACATTTTTTTTAAACTTTCTTTTTTTAGCTTCACTTTTAATTTTTTGTTTGGCGTATTTAAAAGAAGAACAAACACCAATCAAAAATTACTGAAATTTTCAAAAGACTTTCAATAGAAGATAGAAAATGTTACTTTTGTTACCATAATTTTATGCTTTAAAGAAAAATATTCTTACAAAGTAGTGAAACAGTCCTCAATTAATTTCTCTTAGCTTCACTTGTATTTATTTATTTTTTGTTTGTTTGAGGTATTTAAAGTAAGAGCAAACCACTGACAAAATTTTACTGACATTTACCAAAGAACTTCAATTTTAGATAGAAATGCTACTTTTGTTACTATAGTTTTATACTTTAAAGGTAAATTAACTTACAAAGTACTGAAATAGTCCCCATTAATTGCTTTTATGTATTAAATATTCATTAAACTTTGTCCTGGAGAAGATAATTTATGTTCTAAATCTGTAAAACCTTTTCTGCAGCCCTCCAGACTCATAAACATTCACCTTTTATCAATCAGATTAAAGCAATTTTGATCTGTATTGTGCCAAATTACATCAATGTGAAAAGAGGTTCACTGTTATTTAATTTTGGAGAAGTACTTATGGAATGGAGACACACCTATTTATTAATAATAAAACAGTTTTTTATAGAACATATTGATTATTTTCTTAACCTATCAGCTTCTGCTTCCCTTCAGATGCAAATGTCCCCCTATGTTTGACGGGCCGGAGTGCCAGCAGACCAAACACAGCTTCGGAGGTCAGGGTTACGCCTGGTTTCCTCCCATCAAGCCTTGCTTCCAGAGCCAAATATCCCTGGAGTTCCTGTTCGAGTCGGCCAACGGGCTGCTGCTCTACAACGGGCCGCTTGGCCTCGTCCAGCCTGGGGAGCCGGAGGACTTCATCGCCGTCGGTGAGTTTAATGTGTTTATGTCACTAAAGCAATCTGGACTTAAAAAAGAAAGGAGACACTCACTTAAACTGAAGGGATTAACCCTTAGTGTCACAATACATAATTCTCATGTGACGACACACTTCCGTAAACTTTGGAGCTGACAGCCATTTTGGTAGACAGTTGCTATGACAACAATAAACAAACCACAAGCTTAGAACAACCTCTAATCTCGTTCTTATCTAACTTACAAACAACATAAGTAGATTACAACTATTACTCGATTATAATTTTGGAGTACTCTACCCACCTCTGCGTAATACAAAGATAAATATCCGTGATATTTACTGTAAAACTTGCTGCTGAATTAGCAAAGTTAGCTTAGCCAATGTAGCTATTATCTGCAAGCTAGGATTGATATGTAGCCTACGTGTATGTTACTACATGTACTCACTTTGCCAGTCATAAGAACCTTGTTATTCACATGGAAGGCTTGTGCGTCCTTTGCAAATCTGTTTAAACATTGATCATATTCATCCATAGATTCCAGGCCGCAAAACTCTCTTTGTCTTCATGAGGTAGTTAACTAACCATAGTGTGAGTCCTCATCGTCGACATATTTTCTTTCTCCGTCTCATCCGGTTCGATCCTGATGGCAGCCATTTTATTTCATTAGTCCCAAAGCCATGGGTCCAGAAAGCAACGTCCCCTGGGACTGGTGCAAACTATGTATTGACACTAATGATGTTCCTTAAAATGCTAAAGTTCATTGAGTGATTGAAGCACAGATGAGGAAAAAGAAGAAAGAAGAAAATAGGTAATTATGGCAACTGATATTGTCATTGTTATATTTAGTAAAATTATGGCTGTTCCTAGATTTTTCAAAAATCTAGCAACAGCCCACAAACCCCCTGTACTTTTAATAACATATTCTAACAGGATTATTTTAGCAGACATGTTTTCTAATATTTATCTTACGTTTACTTTTCCATCAGTGTTATCTTTAAATTAAGTGATGATTTCTAGTGATTTAGAGTCAGAACTAAAGCTAGAAACCTAAAAGCTTAACAAGCCAATAAAAGGTGAGGAAGAGCATTAATACTGATGTTTTTTCTGCATATCTTCTCTGACTCTGATGCTTCTTGGAGATTCTAGGTATTCTCTCTCCAACTCCCCCGCTTGCTGCTTTGAGACTTCAATTTGAAATGTGACAGTCGTTTGATTAAAGTCAAAACATTATTTTAACTTCTAAGCTCTCTAAGACACAGTGTGATCCAACGCTCCCAGTGGGGAAGCTTCATCAGCTCGTCCTTTTCAACAAACACAAAGCGTTCATCAATCTGCTGCTGTAGAACAGCATCTCAGCGGAGGAAACGCTTCATAAACTCTAATGTCAGCTCCCGGCGGTTCTTATGTGGTGTTAATGGATTAGCCCGCCGATGGCCTTTCAAGCGCTCCTTGCATAATCTTGTGGCATTAACGTTATGTAATTATCGAACCCGGGTTGTTGCCGAGCGGATCTGGGGAAATAAAAATCAAAGATGACGGCAGCATTGATGTTTCTGAGCCGTTTTTCACTTAGATGTTCAATATTACGACTGATCCGGTCACAAACTCACACACACACACACACACACACACACACACACACACACACACACTTTGGCATGAATGCACACATCTGACTGGGACAGAAGGTGATAGACTGAGGGGATTTCTGCTGCCGTTGATGGGATTCAGCAGCTTACACAGCAATAGTCATGATGGCATGCATCAACTTTTTAGACCCAACAAACAAAGTCATCCTCCATCTTTTGTGCTTGATTTGATGTGACGATAAATTAATACAAACTCACTGTACAGGATGCTTTTATTCATATCTATTATATTTAGTGATGCATCAGTGAGAATTTTCTGGCTGATTTCTGATCTCTGGTTTTGTAAAGTTTGGAGCCACCAATCCTATATTTCCCTTTAAGAACTATGAGAAGGTATAAGAGCAGCAATAAAAATGTATTTTCTGCTGTGAACACTAATAGTTATGTGTCTGAGAGAGAATATATTACCCACAACGAAGTATCAGGGCCAGGCTAAGAAGAACATATTTTAAATTTTGACAATAAAGTAATAATATTATGAGAATAAAGTCACAGTAATAGGAAAATAAAGTTATAGACGGCTAATATTACCAGAATAATGTTGTAATAACACAAGAATAACATGATAATAATGCAAGAATCAAGTAATATTATCAGAATAGTCATAATAATGCAAAAATAAAATTATTATATTACCAGAAGACAGTTATAATTTTACCAGAATAAGGTTGTAATATTAGAAGAATCAAGTAGTAATTTTATGAGAATACTTCCATAAAAAGATAATAAAATATAAAAGGAGCAATGTCTGTGCTTCCTCTACCCGTTTCAGTATTCAACTCTATGGACTCTGAGATTTTTATAGGTTATTCTTGTGGTATTTAACCACAAAATAAAAGTTTGCAATCTGAATCCATATTTTTTTCTCCACTTCATCCAGAGTTAAGGAACGGAGTTCCAGTTCTGAGCATAAACCACGGATCGGGAACGCTGACCCTTCAGCTCCCACCCAAAGCTACGATCAACGACCGGCGCTGGCATCGCCTGGACATACTCAGCGACGGAAAGGTGAGGCAGAAAAACAGATGGATGGTGATAAAAAAAAACAATACCATGAGTGTACATATTAATTTATATGTTTTACTGAGTAATGACTAGAGTATCGAAAAAATACTCCTATGTTGAACGAACATTGATAGTTTAGCATAAGCTAAATATTTAGCTCAGAGATAAATATTTAGTTAGCCAACAAAAATATTTATTTTGAAACTTTGACATTTATAAATAAACAACATGGTGAAAATATGTCTTTAAATATTTAATACCTTTTTTAAAATCTCTTTAAAAATGTTGTCTCAGTTGCTGATGATCAATCAGTAAATCAACAGTATTTGATGAGTAGCACCAGGCTTCTAATCAAACACCAGTGACTGTTTATGTCCCTTTCACTCTCCGTTCAGCTTGTGCAGCTGATCCTAGACCAGTGTGGAGGGGTTCCTGTGAATGAGATGGAAGGTGTTGGAGGGGAGACCCGAGAGATCGATGAGTCCGACTGCAGAGCTGCAGGAGAAACACCCGGGAACCAGCGGTATGAAATAACCTGCAGCAAGTGGAAAGAAATCTCACTTTAGTTAATTCTGCAAAATTTACATTTGTGTACATTTACCCTAACCCTAACCCTAACCCCATCAATGAAACAGAATAGCTTACCTTTGCCAAATACTTTATTTTCTAAACCTCCTTTAGCCTCTGTGTTTTTTTTGTTTTTTTTTGCTGATATATTTCTTTAATGTGTGCTTCCTGTCAGGTATTTAAATGTCTACCAGCCTCTTCAGTTGGGAGGAGTGAAGGAAATGTCTCCGTACCGCCGTTACCGAAGTTTTACTGGATGCATCCGAAACCTGGTGGTGGACAGCCAGGTAACACAGCTCTGCATGTTTCAGTGTGTACTTTAAATATTCATGTGGTGAGCACAAAAAAATCTGTTTATGCTGTCACACTGAGGAGGGAGTGAGGAGCGGTTAAAATTTGAATAACCTCAGGTTATATTTAACGGTCAGAAACTAATGAATAGGATTACCCATCATTCTCCTCCAAATGGAAATGAGTCAATAACAGAAGTGAAGGAAACACAATGTGTTTGTGTGTTTTCATCCTAGGAATCATTAGCTTTTCCTGGATGTGTTTCTTGCCTTGAAACGCAGCTGCAGTGTGTGTGTGTGCCTGCATCTATCTGTTTGTGCATGCATGAATTCACTCCCACCGGCTCCTGTGTGTTTGTGCTCGGGCGCCGTGGGTTTGGTGGTCGGACAGATGGTGGTCTGAGCTCGGCTCATCAGCCAAGGCCAATATAACAACATCACAGTCCAAAAGGTAATATGAATGAATAGAGGCTCTCACTTCCCTGCAAGCTGCTGCGGTTCCTGTGCTGCTGAAGGAAAAACCTCAACAAGCTCCCACAGATCCCAGAAATTTCCCCAGGAAAGAATTCAGTCCGCTTTAAAATGAGGAATGTGGAAGTTCAAGATGTTAGCATCAGCGCTGTTATTTTTCCCACAATCCCCTGTGTTTTGAGGCTGTGTCTGAAATTTGTTGAGGTTGTTAAGATGAAATTTTCCCTGTTATTACACTTTTTTCTGAATGTGAAGGACAGCAGAAAAGTGTCATGACAACAAATTGTGAATTTCTTTATTCGAATTACACAAAACATGACATCAGCATGTGGGCTTGGAATTAGCTCTGAAAATAAAGTAGAGTCCTGTGCTACTTCAGCATTTCTTTCTGCAGAGGTTTAGGTCCTTTCAAAGAAGTCATCTGCCAAGAAATGTTATATTTTAACTAATTTGCTATGATCTACTCATAGTTTACTGAAAACATGAAGATGGACATTTGAATTCAAGTTGAACTTAAGTGACAAAAACAACCATTTGAGACTTAGCTACCAGCATTGGCTTTTCATAATTACTTCTTTTGCATTTAAAGCTCTACAAACATAAAGTAGAAACAGAAAATTCATTGTTGTAGTTTTAGCAAATTAGGACATTATATGGATTTAACTGCCAAAGACTAAATCATTTTTGGCAGTGTATTAAATTCTTACATGTGTTATTTGTTAAGATGAAGGTTTTCTAAATGTACCAAGATGAAAAGCTAAAACTAAATTGATTTATGATGTTCGGCTCATCCAATCCAGAGGATGCCCACAACCAGCAAAATGAGCTGTCTTTAATTAAAGGTCACGCATGATGAATGTCCTTTAATATTCTCTTAAACATGATTCAAATCAGCACTTTTCCTACATTAATTACAATTTTATTAGATATGTGAGTTGATAAAACCGGCCCATGGCCCATCTGTGCTTTCAGAATGGTGAGAACCCCACACTCCATTATGATTAGTTAATTAACTTCAATTGAAATTCACTTTTTACAAAAATTGAGCACATTTGAACCTTTAAAGTAACCTAATTCAGAAAAACTGTATCCTTCATTTGATTTAGAATTAAAACTATTTATTGTGCAGTGATAATATCAACTCCTTATGGTAAATGTACTGATGAGATATTTACATATTCACACTGAACCAGTGGATGGAAGTACAGGTTTGGAAAAGGAACTGAGTGTAATTTAAAAAAATAACATGTCCTGAATGTACAGTATATATTAATTCAACTTGAATGGATATTCTTATGCATAGCTCAGTTGGGTAAGTTTTAGGTTAGTGATCTAAAGTGAACTGGGTGATGTCGCTGTTTTTATGAGCTAGCATGTCTTTGGTAAAACACATCTGCATTTAGGCATCTAAAAGTCTGAAATAAATTCTGGATGTCCAACAAACGTTCATTTTTAAACCAAATACTTGCCAACTATTTAAAACTACACATTTATGAACCATTTAAGCCAATTTTAGGTGTATTTTGAACAAGTAAAGGTGTTTTTCTCTGGCACAAAGATGTAAAGGTTCCTCAGAACATTGTGACGAGGATGTTGTGACATCCTTGCTTCTAGAAATGAGAAACCTTTTGAATTTTAGAAACTTCACATCCCTGCCTCACCTTCATTTCCTAAGATCTTGTGTCAATACAAAGCTGCTTTCTAAACCCCAAAAAAGAGAGAAATAGTGAACTCAAAAAACACGCTTGTCATTGCTGTGTAATCAAAGCCGATTTCCCAGATTCCTTTAGAGGAATTCAGCTCACATTTATGTGTTAACACAGACTGACACACCACAAAATGCTGCCGCAGTGCGCCTGCCAACTGAAACAATGGGCTTGTGTGAAAATTTAGTGCATGTCGAATTAAGTCTTATTGCATTCTAAACTCAGGGGATCAAAACAGCGGAATTAAAACAAAATCCAATCTAATGTTGGCCGTGAATACAGCCTGGAACTCTTCAGACGTCACGTTTTATGTTTCAATGCTTTTGATGAAACGTTGCAGAGGAAAGAAGGAATGTCAGCGTTCTTGTTTGGCCTCAGGTGTACGACCTGGCGAGTCCAGGTGAGAGCGTCGACAGTGCGCCAGGATGCAAGCTGACAGACGGCGTGTGTGTGACGGCGGCCGGTCCTTCGTGTGGCGTTCACGCCTCCTGCCTCGCCGACTGGGGCTCCTTCAGCTGCGAGTGTCGTCCGGGATACAACGGACACAAGTGTGAGAGAGGTGAGAGGAGCTTTGTTGTAAAAGCGCAGTTTTAACTCAGGGTTATAATACTTCTGGGTTTTTTGTTATACTTCAGTTTTATTTGATTGTGACTTATTGTCTTGTTCAGTTAGCTTTAGTTTGTTTTTATAGGGTTTGCTATATTTTATCAGTTAAATGTTTAGTTTTAGTTTAGTTTTTATTAGTTATAGTTTTAGTTTTTTCTTACTTTGGTTAATTTTCAGGTGTAGAATTTCAAAAATGATTACCGTAATTTGATGTAAACTGCTTGTGGGAGGGGGAAAAAGTCTATTTCACAGCAGCTGATAAATACATTCATAAAGACAAAAACGAATGATATTATATGTATAATTAAAATATGTTTTAGATGTATGAATATATGATGTAATTCTAGTTAACTATAGTTTTTATTTATGTCAGGTAACACAAATGTTTTCTCCATTCCAGTTTTGGTGGTTTCATTAGTTTTCGTTAGCTTGTAACCTTGCCCTGTTCCCTGCTCAGCTGTGCAGGAGTTCTCCTTCGACTCGGACAGCGTGATGCGTTTCCAGCTCAGAGGGGGCGGCAGCTCCCGTCGCACCAACATCCAGATGCTCCTCCGGACCAGAGCCACCTCGGGGACCCTGCTCTCCGTGGCATCCCGGGACTCCAACGAGTACATCATTCTGGAGGTCAGCCTGACTTTCAGCTTCAATATTTACCTACTTTACTGCTAAATGACCTGTCCATGCCAACATAAACAACAGCTACTAGTTACTGGAATCCCATCCTGAGTTTTAGTGTCATTAATACCTTTTATAGTAGACACATAAATCACGGATTGGCCCTTTTTCCTACAAGAGAGGTCTTGTTTTCCAGATAATTTGAAATCAGATTGAGTCAAAACTGGTGGTGGAACGCTATTAAGATGTTTAATTGAGGTAATTTGATGCTAAATTATTGAATAAATAGACATATGAGGTCAACAACAAAGATATTAGTTGTTTTTAATCTGTTATTTAGATTATTCAACCATAAGAGTGGTGCAAAGTGCTCTTCTACCGATTCAACCTTTGGATGTTTCAGGAACTTCTTTGAAAAAATCTGTTTTGCTTTTTAGGCTTTAAAGCTGTCATGATTAACTAACTCTTTTTAGCACAACTTGATCACAATAGTCTTTTCCAGCGCCCCATCAGATGATTTTTTTAACCAAAACTTAACGTCCAGTCATAACATAACAATGTGTTTTATCCTGAATAGTTGTAGTTTGTCAAATTTACAGACATACCAGAAACACACCAGCACAAAGGTTCTGCTCTAAGCTTTTGTATTTTTGTGTCGTTTCTTCAGTAGTTCTTGGTGCAGCGCCACCAGTTTGTTTCAGGAGACTAGGCGTTATCCTGTTGCTAAATGAGAATTGTACAGGATATTAAAGAACTAGTGAATGTAAATGTTTTCTCAATTTTCCACACACTAAATAATTGTAAATAAATTAAAGACTAGTTCTTATCAAGTATTCCGTGTGCAATTGTAGTGAAACATTAATGTATTCTATACATAATTATTTTTTACAGGTCTTTATTAGTCTTTTCCTCCTCTAACTTTTCAACTTTTCAGATCAGTGACGGTCACGTCTCGGTGCGTGCCAACCTGGGAGACGGCGCTCACTCTCTCCAGCTCCCCGGTCACAGAGTGGACGTCGGACAATGGGTCCTGGTCAGCCTCGGTCGCCACGACAACAGGTTTACCCTGCGACTGGAGCAGGGAGGGGGCTCCCGGGAGGTTCAGGCACAGCTGGGGAGCCGCAGGGAGATTGTGGTTCATCCGGCCAGCCTGATGGTTGGCAACAGACCAAACGCTGGAGAAAAGGCTGACTTCCAGGGTGAGATCTTGCTCTCATCAGTATTCATCTGTCAAAAGGATTTTATTTAACTTAAATTTAAAAAAATCAATGCAAGTTAAATAATTATCTTCACGTGTTTTGGGTCTCTACTTTCTTTACAGAGTCTAGGCATAAAAATAGATTATTTTGCAAGCATTTAATAAACCAAAGTTTTCTTTCCCTTTGAATTGTTTCACATAATGTTGCATTACAACCTGTCACTTATGAGTCCAAAGAATCAGAACTGAGCTGCAAATAGTTTTTAGCTGAAATATGTTGTAAGTTTTGGACTCTGAATGCAAATGCATGATACACTTCAATGTTTTCTTTTAAAAAAATGCTGTAAACATCTTACATTTTCTGTCTACTTAAAATTTATGCTTTACTCCATGGTGGTCCATCGCATAAAATCTTAAGAAAACAGATGATGAACAGTAGGAATACTTTTGCAGGGCACAGTAACTGCAACACTTGTTAAAACTGCAATTTATACTTTACTAATATTCAGACCTTATTAGTCATATTGAACAAGTGAGAAACAGTTTTATTTTGGTTTGGAGAGCAGCAGAACTACATTCTGATAACAGTTTGACTTTCAGATATTTAGTTTTTTTGATAGACCTTCATGATTTTACGTGATATACTGTTCACACCTTGTTCAACAGTTTGTTCTGGTTGGTAATGTGTTAAAAAGTCATCAAAACTTTGGTCTGATACCTCAAATAAACTGTGAGTTTGTCTTTTCAATCGGATGTTTCCGTTTTTCCGTGCAGGTTGCCTGCGGGACGTCCGTTTTAACGGACACATCCTCCCTCTGGACGGCCAGAGCCGGGACCTGGTGACGCTGCTGGAGAGGCGGGGGGTCACCTCGGGTTGCTCCAGCGACGCATGCAGAAGCCAGCCCTGTCGCAGCCCGCTGCGTTGCATCGACCTGTGGAGAAAACACCAGTGCAAGTAAATAATGCATGAATGCAAAACCACACAGAATAAACTGAACTGAGTTAAACATATTCAGGTTTGATGAAGCTTTTTTAGGGCATTTGTACCAGTTGGTGCTCATCCAGTCGTCTCTGCTGGACTCTGACCCGTTGCAGGTGTCCAGGCCCTCAGGTGACCGTCACCGATGAGTCCGGTCTCCAGCGCTGCGTACCGTCACCCTGCAGCTCGTCCTCCTGTCGTAATGGCGGCACATGCCATCCCCTGTCAGCCGACAGCTACCAGTGCCGCTGTCAGGAGGGATTTAGGGGTCAACGCTGCGAGCTGGGGCAGGTCAAAGGTCAGAGGATGGCTGCTCTCAGCCCCAGCTCCATCCTCGCCATCAGCATGTGCCTGCTTGTCTTTATTGGTAAGAACAAGTGATTGTTAAAGTGAATTTTTTGTGTTTCTTTATGTGACCTGAGTATACGTTTTGCCAATATCACACTCTTGTTCCTTAAAACTGCAGTGTTTAACTTTTACAAAAATATGTTTTTTTCCCTATTTGTTAAAACCTTCACCATGTTGCGACAGTTTGATATGAGAAAGATAATCTGTGAAAAGATTGATGTCTGCCGTCTGAAGAAATACACAAATTCTGCCCAAAAACAATCAGAGCCAGGAGGAGGGGCTTAGCGCTGTCCATCAACTTCATGTACTCACTGCTAAATATTCTAATGGTGGAGAAACAATTCATCGTTACAGGAATGTTTATCAGCTGTCATCGGTGGCTATGCTAACTAACCTCAGCATTCGTGGCAGGCTATGTTGCATACACACGGGTGATTGATATCACTAAGACCCTCCTCCTGGCTCTGATTGGTTGTTTTTGACCAGGAGCAGTGCATTTTTGCAGACAACAATAGTAGCACTGGGAGGAGATGAAAGAACTTGATCTTTTCACAAATTATCTGTCTCATATTATATTGTCAGGATATAATATGAGACATATAAGAAATATTTTTATTTTTTTCAAATAAAAATATTTAATTGAAAAAAATATTTTTTTTTCCAAATATGGAAAAAAAAATATTTTATAAATAATTATTTTTATAAAAGTAGCATATTGTAACGCTAAAGCAAATGTCTGGTTGTTTGGTTAAACTGTAATGCTTTAAGGTTTGAATATGTTTCATTTTGACAAGATGCTCTGTTAATTTCTTCTACCACCTATATCTGTCAATGTGTGTGCGTGTGCGTGTGTGTGTGTGTGTGTGTGTGTGTGTGTGTGTGTGTGTGTGTGTGTGTGTGTGTGTGTTTAGTGGTTTTGGTGGCGGTGACTGTTTGGAATCAGAAAGGCAGCCGAAACAAGTTCAGGAAGCGAGGAGTTTACCACATCCCTGCTGAACACCAGAGCTGGGAAGACATCCGAGAAAACATCCTGAACTACAACGAGGAAGGAGGAGGAGAGCAGGACCAGGTACCCAGTCACACACATACACACACACACACATACACACAATGCTAAACATGTTCAACCTTCTGCTTTTAAAGTTTATACTCGCCTGCTCACAGTCAGAACATTTCAACAGAGAACAAGTTGATCCAGGAATCAGCAGTTCATCCTCTGGGCTGAATTGTTCTCTTGCACACAGCTGTAGGAAAAAAGTGAATAAGCGTATTGTGGCTGTGGGTGAATGTTAAAACATAGAAATAATGACAAATTAAGGGGAAGTTTTATGTGTTTTACAAGCACAATCAAGAAACTTTGTTACCCTTAGTTGTTTTAGAAATGCTGTATAAACTGAAAAGAAGTTTGACTTCACAATTTGATCCCTTGAAATTGGGCCTCTGTCTCTTTAAGAAGCTCCTACTCTTTCTGATAATCTGGAAGTCATCACAACATCTTTGCTTTATAAAAGCTTTAACAACATTTTTATCAGTGTTATATAATGAGCCTAGCAGATGTGCAGATCCACCAAGTGCTTAATAATTGCTGCCGCTAGTCTAGAGGAACTGAATGAAGGAGGTGCATGGGAGGAGTGATCTGTGAGGCAGAAGCTTGAGAAGGATCTATATGGAAATAGACGGCGTTTAAAGTTTCTCAAACATCTTACCTGGTTTTACTGCTGTATGTATACAATGGCTGCTGGAAAGAATGAGAGTTTTTTTTATTTACTATCCAGAAATCACTTGTTGCATTCGTGATGGTTGTACATGAGGCTCTACTAATGCTTTTCAAAGATGTACGGTATAATTGTGCATCTGTTTGCAGCCTTTTCCACTTATGAATGTAAACACTGAGTTGGAGGGCGTGGCCAACAGCAGCTTATTTGGATTTAAAGTGAGAGAGGCCTTAAAGCAGCTCAATCTGAAAGAAGCTCAGAAGTGAGCAAACTCAAATCTTGGAGTCAAAGAATGATTTTGTGCAATGAACATGTTTTGTATCACCCATAGACCTATCCTAACCTGTTCAAGGACGCATAGTAAAATCTTGGTTGTTGAAGTGCATCCAGAAACAAGCTCATGTCTTCAACAGAGCCCTGACTATAATGAGATCTTTAATTCATGGACTACATGGTTTTGGTTTCTTCCCTTCAGAATGCATATGACATCACGGAGCTGAAGCGTCCTCTGTGCTCCAGCTTGTCCCAGTCGTCCTCCTGCACCACCGCCCCGCTCATCAAGTCCTCCCCTGGCTCCCAGGAGGAGGTGCATCCGTCCGGCTCCTCCTGCAGCTCCGGCGCCCCCTACCTCAGCATCCCGCACCACCACCATCACCACCACCACCATCAGCACGCAGCCGGCGCCGGCTACAGCAGCGACGCCACCTACGCCAACTATTCCTCCCACGTGGGCAGGGACACAGAGTTGAGTGACACGGGCAGCTGCGTCGACGCTCCGCCCGCGGCGCGCTCGCATGTGGACTTCAAAAGCTACGTGGAGCGAATCATCTGGGAGGCGGACAACGACAGCGGTGCGTTTCCAGCCGACGCCTACCACGTCTGGTGCGTGGAGGGCTCCGGGTCGTCAGCAGGAAGCCTCAGCTCTCTGGGGTCGGCCGTGTCCTGCAGAAGAATGGCTGCCGGGGACAAGAAGGAGGAGGTAGAGGAGGAGGATGAAGGAGGTTTTGTGTGTGACAGGCTGTCACGGTGGGGGCCAAAGTTTCAGGCTCTGAGTGAGATGTACGACCGGCCACAGCTGGGCCTCACATACAGGGACGCGATAGCCTACATACAGAGGAGCCACAGCCATGACCCGCTGCCTCAGCACCACTAGGGGGAGCCACTCAACCCCGACCACACAATTCTACTTTGTTTATGGGGTCTGGAAGTGCTGCATTCACACAACGTCAGAAAACAAACAAGACGTTTTCAGGTTATATTCACTGTTATGGTCCTGTCAGGGATATTTATTCAGGGGAATAATGGCAGGGCAATATGGCTTCAAAATAAAATCCTTTTTTTCATACCAGATCAGATTTTCAATTTAAATTTTTTTCTCACTTTGTTTCTAAGAAAAAGAAATAATAATTCAAAAAAGTGGCTTTTATTTCAATCATCTCTTCTGTGAGTTGTAATACAGAGTATTAGGACCAGCTTAAGATAATGTTTTGTTGAATTATGAGAATATAGTTGTAATATTGGCAGAAAAAACAATTTTATTAGACATAACATCTTAAAGTTGCAAGAAAAAAGTAATTTTAGTGAGAAAAAAGCTTTGATAATTCCAGAGATCTGACGTGAATACCTCAGTCAGTGTGGTTCTCTCTTCCAAATATTCGGTTGTTTGAACAATCATTTCAAAGTCCTGTTAATGATAATGATTTGATGCTGATATGTAAAAGATTAATTGTTTTATTAAGTGAAACCGATACAAAAGTATGATTTCACAAGATGGTCAACATTCCTCATTTTAATTTTTGGGTTTTTGTGTTGGAGTTCTTATAAGATTACTACAATATTCTCCTAATATCATGGCTGTGATCTTGTAATATTATGACTTTATTCTTGTAATAAAGTCATTATAAAATTGTGGCCTGGCTCTAATATTCTATCATAGAGTTAACCTGAGTTCAAAGTTCAGATAAATAGATGCTGTAAAACACGCTTATCTGGCAAAATGGCAGCCGTGGGCGCACTGACATCACTACGAACTATGAAAACTCAAGGAGTGGTGAAAAAAAACATCACAATTTTCCAAAATAAACTCATCATAAACCAAAAATTTGATTAATCATCCAGCTGTTAGTTGTGGTATTTTAAGTCCCCAAATCTTTCAAATTTAAGACCAAACATAAACAAGAAAACCAAAGAAACTAGTTTATAAGTAACCAAACAGATACAACAGGGCTCATTTTAAAAGGGATAAAAGACTATAAATGCCAAATATTAATTCAGTTACAAATGTCTATAACAGACTTTGCTTTAATTTGTTCATATTGGTGGGGGTTTTTCTTCAGAGTTATTTGTGTATTTTAGTTGAGTTTAAATTATGTTCTGGAAAATTTTTATCAGGGCTCATCTGATGTTGACGTGATAATAGCTAATAACTTAGTTTCATTCCTTCAGTTCTTAGGTTTTTTCTGCTGGATGTTTACTTCTGTCTTTTTCTTGTCAGAAATTTTTCCATTTCCCGCTAACTAGCTAGGCTAGCTTAACGAGCAAAACAGCTTGAGAAATTTGACTGATATCAGAAATAGCAAATATTTGTTGTATTTTATAATAATGATTGTAAAGCAATTTATAATCAACTTCTAATTACATTTTATTATTTTTGCTTTTTCTTCCTCATCTTCTTTTCAACGTTCAGAAGCCCCTAAAGCGCCCCCTGGAGGCTCCACCTTAAAAACCACTGATAAGGAGATGAAGGTCTAAGCTGCTCTATGCAGCAGGTTTTAACAGCAGATTTAGCTGCAGAACATCTAATCCAACAAAAAGGGTTTAGATGGGATGTTGTGTGAATGCAGCAGCTCCTCTCCTGTGTGTTCACCAGTGTTGGGAGGAATTCAAAGACACATTCAAGGTCGGAGGTTCATTGTGTCGCTTCTCCTTTTTTCAGAGAAGTTGTGATTCAGAAGTTTGAGGGAAAAAAAAAGCACAGAAAACTCGTTACTGGTTCATTCACCAACTTTACACTGAAACATTCTTCCTCTTCCATTAAAATATCTTCTTTGTTATGTTGTTATTCAATTTGTAAGAGGCTTCTGGGTCTCTGTGCTTTGCTGTTTGCTAAATGGGACTTTCAGGGTCAAAGAGTGTTTTCTCTGAAGCAGCACCACCATCAAATGATGTGAGAAACTTTCAGTGGCTGGAGGTCAGAGTGGAAGAATTACACTGCTACACTTGAAATCTCAGAAAACATTAAGGCCTTGAAAATGACTTAAGTTGTTCTTTCACAGCATTTTATTTGAGAATGTTTGGATCGGAAAGCTTTTCCTTTGAAATTTATATTCACAATGTCAAACATACTAAATGTCTTTCCAAGGATCTTTGCAGTTTTTTGTAAATAAGCATAGACAAACTTAGATTTTTAAATTCCCATGTTTAAAAGATGTGTAAACACTCAAAAATAAGCTTTTAATTTCTCTTTTCTACCTTCCTATTGCACTAGAAGAGGATTCAGTCTTCATACAGGACAAAACAATCAATTTGAAACAACTTTTGTAATATTGGAGGGTAAAACACTTTTTCCACCTTGTGAAATCAGCTTTACTGGTACATTTTTAAATAAGATTATTTTTCTACTCCCTTAAAGAAGTTCATTGATGATCTTCTTTGATGGTTGTTGGTTGTGCTCCGTTGACATGCTGGTTACTTCACTTTTTCCACCCTAGAACTCACCTGTTTACATTCAGATTTGATCTTCAAGCTGTTTTGAATTTTCTATTCATTGAAACAAAATCGTAGCAAACCTAGTTTTACATTTATTTGCAGTTGAAGATGAACTTATTAGTCTGCTTAAATGCTTATTGACACAAATCTCCGTTTTGGTTTTAGCACATCTATCAAACAGACACTAGGTTGTGCTGAAGAGGAAGAGAAGAAAGAATCTGCTGAGATAAACGTGTTTAAATGAAAAAAAATAGAAAAATGTGAGGCTGAACCAGATAAAAGTACAAATAAATAAATACATTTTAGAAATTGTTAACCTTCACAAACATGTGATTAATAATTAGATTTAAGATAATCAGTGGGGATAATTATTCATACTTCTTAAAATGTTATTTAAATAAACACAAGCTTTATAGTTTATATATGGAACCCTTGAAATTTGAATTCATGACTTCTTGTTCCCAGGAGGTTTAAATTTGATGTGACAACAGAGCTCTTTTATTTTAACTTTAGCTCTTTAAAATGTGAAAGACAAGAAAACATGTTATTCAGAGCAAATGTTGATGTTGACAACATCAACATCAATCTGTTTTTCCACTATTTGATGAATTTATTCACAGTCCCTTTATTTATGGTTCCAACAAACATAATGACCACATATATGTATAGTTTTTATTATTTTTAGCATCTTTGTCTTGTATATTGAACTGTAGAAATTGGTTCAGTTCTAAAGAATGCTTAATTATTCTCATATTGTGATCTTACACTTTAAAAGTCCACATTTGTTGCATTTTCTTTTTGTTTTGCTCTCATCAAAGTTTGCAGATACAATCAAGCAAATCCAGAGTTAGACAAAGGGACTGAAAAAAGCCAGGCTACTTCCAGCCGCCCTAATCTCCTATCGACCCTTCAGAGGTCATTTAGTGATCACTTCAGAGTCTTTTCACGACTCAGCGCCTGTAAATTCAGCTGTTATCTGGGCTGTGGTCGTTTGTTTCACCTACATTAAAGCAGACGGTAAATTTGTAGTCCTGAAAGTGAAGAGATAAAGAGAAACAGAAATAGACAACTTTATCAGAACAATTGTTTTCTGCACATGACCTTTTAAAGTTTCTTTGCTATCAAAACAAAAATGGGTGATTAGTTTAACCCGAATCTATTATCTACCACCTGGTTTTCATTATTCTGTCTGATGAATGTAGATCTACGTGGAGAGGAGGAGAATCAGAGTAAAAAGGTTTATTTTAAACTAATCAACTCAGATGTCTGCTGCCAATTCAAGGTTTCGTGACACAGCCACACTCTCCATTGTTCTATTAAATCTTATTTTGCATTCAGATGTCAGGTTTGTTTTGTTGTTTTTTTGTGCAGCTGCCAGTATGAATTAGTTAAAGTTCTTTCCTTCAGATGGTGAAACAGGTTTTGTGTTTCTCTTCTGGTGCCTAAAGTGAAATAGAATAAAAGCAAAATAAACCCTGAAAGAACTGTGCTCAAAACTATGCATCCAAATGGAGTAACACAGGTGTGTGTGTGTGTGTAGGTGTGTGTGCGCGTGTGTGTGTGCATGTGTTTTTATAAACTGTTTATGTGAAGCAGATACTGAGTGAGTTTTGGCCTCTTCAGTGCTCAGTATCTGTTGTAAATCCAGAGCTTTTCGAGGCGGAGGTGTGAACGTGTTGCATCATTCCTGTAGGTTTAAACCGAACAGAGATTAACCATGTAATATGATGTACAAATAAACATTTTATAGCTGCCTATCATGAATTATTCCTTTTGTATGTGACTTTTAATAAAAAATAAATAAAAATGCCTTTTCCCCATAAAGTTTGTCCTGTGTGTAGCTGATTATTTCTGTCTGCTTTGATGATTATGGCTCTCTAATGATTTCTTAGCAAATTGGAATCATTTTCTTCACAATCTTCTTAAGGCTTCACCTTTTACGATCATACTTTTTCCTTTCACTTAATTTTCCATTGAGATATTGCACATAGGAAATCTTCCACAGAAATATAAGGTAAGAAATAGGGTAAAATTACTTAAATCTGGTTCTAAACTGTGTAGGCCATAAAACTATTTCTGTGATAAAAAATCATCTGGTCTGACTTGATATTCTAATTTCCACAGAAACTGAATTTTGATTGGCTTAGAACTCCATGAAACAAGAAAATAGCAGCTTTGAAATAAATCTCTGTCACAAAATCTTAAATTTATTTTTAAAAATTAATAAAACAACTTCTGGGGAAAATAAATGCTGGACAAGCATCTGTGCATGTATAAAATTCATGTTCTGTTTCTAAAATATGATAAAACATTTTGGGAAACTAAATAGAAGATGAATAGCAATAAATATCAAAATGCATATTATTCAAAAATGGTAGATTTGAAATACAGCATTTCAAATGTTAGTTGATATACTATTGTCTAGTATATGAAAGTAGGTTTTTCTGCCCTGTATTTTATGTATTTTATTTTAGGTAAAAACTGTTGAAAGTCAGGTGTTGTTTGCTCATTTGATTACTTATAATTACAGTTCAGTCCTTGCAGAAATTTTACATAATATATATTTTTAATACTATGTGTTAAAATACACACAGATGGAGTCCATTTACTAAATAATGACCTTTGTAGGCGGTTGATTTTGATGAATTTTATTTAGGTTAATGAAGGCGATTTCAGATTTTAAAATCATGTAATTTTACTCCCTTTTAAACATTTATGGATATTTTTGTTGTGGTGCATCACAAACGCCCAGCAAAATACAGTGAAGTTTTTGGTTGTAATGCGTTAAAAAGGTTTTGGTCAACAAGGGTTGCAGCGCTTGCTCAACATGCGCTGAATATCTGAAACTTATTGAGCTGAACCTGAAACATTCTCACACAGATTTGAGTCACAGGAAGCCGTTTTTTCACTCGTGGAACATCAACGTGTCGCATCCGCAGAGTTTTACTAAAATACTCCTTTAGCGCATGAGTATGGAAATTAGGAGCTGATGTCATGAATCATCTGACAAAAGTGGGACAGAAACTAATCTCTGTACTTGAGTTTGTAAAACTGTGACCTTCACTTCTTGCATTTTATGAACTCTTCTGCCATCTTTAATTTGTGCTGCAGCAACATTGTTACGCAGGATTTTATTCTAAAACTACTTGTTTAAAAAGCCTGTAACTGGGTCACTTCGAGCTGCAGTGTGAACGAAGCCCAACATTCATGTTTCTTCTGCCAGTGATTTATTTTTATTTGCCACTTTTTCACTCACTGGAACAGCAGCCTTTAAATGGTGGGATTGTTCTATTTGGGACTTTACAAATTCAAGAAAAAAAAAAAAAGGAAGTATGCATTTCTGTAAAGCTTTTAGAAGTCATGTCCAAAACTTATACATTTAGATTTACAGTAGGCCACAAAATTCATCAAAATTAAAAATGCTTAATTAGTTTGTAATTCCTATTCAGGTAGAACTTTAAGTACGAACTGCTCAACAATATTTTTTTAAAATTAAATCTGCATATTAAATATGTATAAGGCTTTGGACTGTTTATTAGAATAAATTTTTACAATAGTTCATTCATCATTTTGAAACAACCTCAGCTTAGAAGAATCAATCAGGCATTTTACTTCTCAAAAAACAAAGACCAAAAACTCTTTCAACATTTATTTAAAACATTAATACAAAAAGGAAATTACAATTTTCTCTGTTTAAATTGCTCTATGTACAAAAACATTCTTTAACATTTATACACAGTTCACATGGTTTATGTGTTCACTGCGGAGGTTTACAGTCACAGGTTTGATGGATTTCCTTTTTTTTTTTGGCTCACTCCATTTTAAATTAAGTTCATGTACATATTTTTCTCCCTCGTTCCCATTATATAAAAAAGGCACTGAAGACATCCTTATGTACAACATTTAATGCTGAACTTCAAATGAACAGATGTTATGGAGCAAAACTCATAAATACCTTTTTGCCTTTGGCACTGAGTGACCAGACTAAGTTCAATCAATAAAAGATTTTACATATGAACATGTTTCCTTTACTTACGAAGGCTTATTAATAAATACAAGCACTTAAAATGAAAAGGCAAAAAAAAAAAAATAAAAAAAAATAAAATTTGCACAAAGGTCAAGTTTTCCAGGAACGTAACAAAACGTTGCAACTTGATTGCAACAATTATACAAAATGTAAAAAAAAAAAAAAAAAATTGCCACAAGCAGGTCAGGTGCATTAAACACCTAAATAGGAAAAAAAAATTCCTGTAATTCTTGTCGCTATAAAATGCTTCAAAAAAATCAAGCTGTTTGCTCTAAAGGTGACAAGCCTCCATCAGGACAAATTTTTTTTCTAAAAAAAAAAAAAAAAAAAAAAAAAAAAAGACATAAAAGGTGGTACATGTGTAATTGTACCTGTTTAAAATGGAATGACTGTCGTAAGTAAGAACAAAAGCAGGTTTTTCTCATTTCCTGAGAATCAACTGAAGCACCATCAGAAAGCATCAAAGCTTCAAGTTTAAGATCAGCACCAGTGAAACTCCCAGATGACGGCTCACATGGGGCGAAGACCAGTTGAGTGAAAACTGTTGTAGCAATGCAGCTGCTGCTCGACACCACATTCATTACAAAAAAAAAAAAAAAAAAAAAAGATAAAATCATCGATCACCAGGTTGATGACTTAATCAATCTGGTGACTGATTAAACTGATCAATCTGAAACTGATGAAGGAGCAGATCAGTTTCTTGTCTGATCTGTTAAGGGTGCCAGAAGTCAGAGCTTAGTGTTAAAACAACCTAACATAAAAACTTTTGTTCTCCACATCACGTGTCGCCATGGCGACTCAACTGTGGTGTCAAGTTGTCCTGAAGAGAGGTAGTGGGTCCTGCTGATGGGGTCCAGCTCAGGGATTGGTCGACTTTTCTGTGCTGCTGGGCGGGGTCAGAATCTTCCCCATGGCAACAGGTGACTGCTGACAGCAGGGGCTGTTGATTTGACGCTCCTGAGCTTTTTTCTGCGTAAAGATGGAGGAAAAAATAAATTAAAAATGTGCTAACAATTGGCTAAGAAAAACAATTTATAAAAGCAGTGCCTACATTAATAAAAATAAAAAAAAAATCCCCACTTAGACATTTTATTGTTTGATTTAAGTACCAAGCAATCAAAATTATAATTCTGCTGACAACAAAAAAAAGTCAAAGTGAAAACTGATTTCTACAAGATATTTAATGTAAATTAGACTGCATCAATATAATACATGAACACAAAGCACTGTTTAATTAGGTTCATCTCTTTAAAGGAGTGAATATCCAAGTTTTTAGAAATCAATTTTTCCTTTTGATATTAATGTTTCTGTCAAAAAAGCAAGTTTTAAATGCTTAATTGATATATCCTGTTATTTATTGTAATAAACAGGGTTCAAGTGGTCAAAAAGCACTTCAGGATTGTGTTGTGCCTTGGTTAGTTAGGACAGATGGTAAAGCTTCAACAGTCCAAATTATTGTCAGTTTCTCATTCTGAATATTATCACAGACTGATGAACAGATGCGTTTCCTCACCAGCAGGTCCAGATAGGCCACATGCGTCTGGATGTTGTGCCTGTCATCGGTTTTGACTTTGGGGAAGTTTTTCAGCTGCGGTTTGGGTTCAGAGCGCAGCGTGTCCATGAAGGGACTCATCCACTGATAACAGGGAACCACGCTCTCCCAGGTCAGGCCTGCCAAACAGAGGCAGAAACTCACTGGTTACGGCCTGGAATATTCATACACCGAATGCAAAATGTGCAGAGACCGAGTGGAAACCCACCTGAGACTTTATGAACAACGTCAAACGTAGAGAAGTGACAGAAGGCGGCAGCAGCAAGAATGCTGTAGCTGTAGTCCAACGAATTGATGTCCATCATACACAAATCTAACAGCTGAAGGAGATGAAGGCAGAGGTCACACTCTGAACATTTAAAATATTTATTAAAGAGTCTGAGGAAGCAAAGATACCTGTGTGATCTGGATGTAAGTCTCCTGAGAAAACTGCGGCTCCAGGAAGTTTTCTCCATCCTTCTGGGCTTCCACCTGAACGTACAGCTTGAGCCAGGAGATGGGAGTCTCTGGACACAAGTTCCAGTCCAACGCCTGCAGGAAGACCATCATGTTAGAGCAGAAAAACAACCTCTCCATTCAGAAGGGGGATGGAAGCCGCTACCGTACCTTTAATATATGAAGCTCTGTGCACTGGATGTCCCACACGTCACACGCTTTGTCTGTGACGTACGCAAACTCGTAGAGTTTAGGAGGATAAATTTCCTAAAGAAAGAAACATTTCAGTGAAAACTATTCTGCTAGGATATAAACACCAGAAACAACAGGAAGTGAAGACTAACTTCTATCTTGGAGGCGATGAAGAGGGCTGTGATGCCAATGAGCTGCAGGTAATCTTTGTTGACGTTCTCCTGAGTCAGCATGAAGCGGTCAAAGTAGTCCTGGGCCAGGTATGCTGTCTGTCTGTGGAGGTTGTACACCTCACTCACCTGCACAAAGGCAACAGCATAAAAATCCCACAGATTCACCAAGAATGTGTTGACAAAAACACTGCTCTGCTTGGTACTCACCTCCAGCAGCCAGTCCAACAGGATCGCCCTCATCTTGGGCTGCAGTTTGGGATGCCGCTGCATGTAGCTCTTGTCGTGAACGTACTTCAGCTCCTTGTTGAGCATTTTAATCCAAACGTCGTCTGAACTCGCCCAGCTGGGAAGAGAAAGAAACCAAAACTGCTCAGTCATTTGCAAACCAAAGCTTAAATAGCTTGGCTCGTACCATGTGACGAAACTAAGAGCTAAACCATTC